CAAGTGCTGAAAACTGGTTCAGTGGTCGGCGTTGTGCAGGACCAAGGCCAAATGATAATGATACTTTATGAGATTACTCGGAAAGAGGATCGACAAGCTGCAAGACTCGTTGTCAGGAAGACAGGGCTTTCTTTGCATGTTCGCCGCAGCCATGCAATGATATGATACATTCATTGCACGATGTAAGGTTCGTGGTAATGATGGTATCGTCCGTTTTGATATCGTTAGTTCTTATCATTGCTCATTTTGAATGGCGCACGTATTTACGATCACATTTTTGTTGTTATTACAAAAGCATATTAAAGTTTTAAAGAAATAACTAGCACTCATTAAAATCGGCGCTTTTCTAAATGTTCGACGCAGTAATTGGTGGCGTGGCAATTACATGATGTTATAATTTTTACAGATTTTTAAAATTGTTTCTTGTGTAATTTATCTTAGCTTAAAACAATGATTATAGCGCCTTATCCAAGGCGCTTCGCACAGAATTTACAGTAGTACACACACGAATGTTATGGTGGGGATGAGGCGAATGAAACAGACGAGAGGAAGTAATTGGGGCAAATCTGTGATGCGTGCGATGGGTGGAAGCGAAATTGATGGCAGTGAATGACGATGATCGATGGATCGAACGAATGGGGAATGAGTGAGAGCCGTGTGATGCGAATATGAAGAGGAAAAAATTAATCCGTAAAAACAAAGTTTTTCACTATAAATCCTTTATATGCGTGGCAGCTAGAGTCCTCTCGTCCTCTGGCTTGAGATGGCTGCCACCTATGGGTCAGATGATTGCATGGCAGCATTAAGCAATTGGTAATTAAATATAATATTCTTGTCCTAAAAAGTGTAAAATTTGGGAAAACATTTTTTCACGAACATTAATTTTCACGCACAACGAGTCTGTATGGAAAATGTCAGCTCGATTGGATCACGGGAAGTGGGTTAAAAAACGACCGAAAGATTTGCACGGTCCTAAGCAAGCAAGCAAGTGAACTTAATATATAGGATTTAAAAAGTAACGGTGGTGGATCTGAGGTGGAGGGCTTGTGGGGTGAGCGCGGGAACAATCAGCGAGTTTTTATTGCGGAGCGGAAACTGGTGAGCGAAGTTGATTGTTTAATGTGGACGGCACGTGTCGTATTATGGTATGTAAAACTATTTTTTAAAAACACTCATGGAAGCTTATTCTGAGTGAACTGCAGTTGTACTTTTAAGTACTCGACGTACACAAACGACGCAATAAAAATGTGAAATATAATCGTAAAGTAATACGAAACTGATAATCTGATCATCTTTAGGGCGTGAAATGTGATCTCGTATCGTGAAAAACGAATAATTACGGCAACCATATCGCGTTCAGAGGTTTGACCAATTGCCTCGATTGAGTGTTTCGTGTGTGTGAAAGGTAGGCGGAGTGTTCAGAGAAAATCCCTCACTATTACGATGGTTTTGATTTAAAGCTTTCGTGACTGCAGGGATTCATCTTCTTGGTTCTTTCGTTAAAGTCACGTAGAAGGGAAGAAATAAAAGAATAAAAGTAATTAAAAAAATATTCTATTATGTTTTATTTGTATTATTTTATTACTTCCCTTCTACGTGACTTTACCGAAAGAACCAAGAAGATATTACGATGGTTTCAAAATGTGCATCACGAGCACAGCACATGGGATGTTGTTTGCTGTAACGCGGTAGAGACTGTGACTGCATTGTCAGGCCGGGTGGTGCAATGGTTAGAAGCACCGGAATCAAATTTGAAGAATCATGAATTCAAATTCAGGTCGTGGGTCAAATCAGCACGCCACGAGGTCAACAAAATGAGTAACGCTTTGTGGAAGGTCAACAGTACTTGCTATGGGTGGAGTGATGCTTCGATTAATTAATATTGTTTCTTAAACTCACGATACATGCATCGAGTCGAGTAAGTGAATATTTCACCATGGGACCTCCTTTGCCGGTACCAAAATATACTAATAGGGTTTTTCCCCTTTTTCTGGCAACAGATGACGCCAAAAGGCGCACTTTGGCCGTCATCTGGTCGAACACCATATGAGACTAGGCTCTAAAGAAAGCTGTCTCTGGTGTGGACCAATCTGTTTCAAAGACAGAACATAAATTATCAGAGTATTGTTTTTTGTTTGCATTTGACTGCAAGTATTGTGGTTAATGTAAGCATGATTCCTTGCAAAAGGTGTCAGTTTTGTTGTCAGAAAAAAGGGGAAAACCATATTAGTAAGTGAATATTATTTGCATCCACTGGAGGCCCGACCATTCAGCGAACTGCAATGCGAAAATATTCATCAAATCATCGGTGGCTGCCCGATGGCCTGCGCTGGTCTCCATCCTAAAAGTGAAATTTCCACCGCTGACTCAGGACCACAGATGGACACAAGCACCACCTCATTGTTCGTTTGTGTACTTGGGAACTTTTTGTGGCTCTAATTCATAAATTGTATTCATAAAAGGAAAATAAACATATCTTGAGTTACCAGACTTTTGTGATTGCATGCACAGCAATGCCCTTTCAATGGAAATACAACACAACATGGAAACTCACAGCGCATTGATTTGATTAAATGTCAGCCTGCCGCTAGTCAAATTATTTGACATCGATTTGCTCGTCGCTGTTCAAAGTTTAAATACAACAGGGTCATCTAAATGCGGTACACCAAACAGCAAATTTCTGAGAAAGGTGAGTACATTTATAGTATTAAATACATTTCGAGAGATATACGCGGACTCTCAAATACAAATGACTCAAATCCAAGTGCATGACTATCACTCTGGAAGTTGCTATTCACGAAGACATTTTTACTCGCGGGTTTGTTCCAGCTGAGCTACGGCCAAGGCATCAGGGGCTCTGCTTTGTATTCATGAATGGCCGTTTCAAGTGCTACATCTTTTCAGTTCGGGTCAAACAACTTTTGCAACAGCATATTATTTTCTGGAGGCAACCCAATGCAGAATAGGGAAACTGCTGATTATATGTTTCAACAAAACAAAAGCACATTAAATATCTTCATTTGCACAACCAACACACTGCATTATTAAAACCATCAAGATTCAAGACGCCAGAAACTACTACCTGAATCTGAAAACTCAACTTTAGGAGGATCCTGTGACGTTTTTTTCCCTTTCGTTTTCCCTCTGCTAAACGGCAGTTCTTTGGCTCAACGTCCCCTCATCCGGTCCCATCTTGAGTTTGCTCCTTTATTTCACTATACAGAACCCCTTATCCTTCAAGTCATCAAGTGCGTTTTTTTCTTTCTCCGCCTCTTGCTTTCTCCCCAACACATTTCCTTCTCTTCCAAAACTTCCTTCATTAAGCTTTCACATTTTGAAAATGTGCCAAATCCACATCTCTTCCCTCTTCTGGATTGTTCCAGTTTGACGTCTCTCCTCCTGTACCTGCTTTAAAACTTCCTCAATACTATCTCGATCCAACCGATTTCCTCCACAATTACGCCACACCCACATCCCAAGGCTTGCCAGTGACGTTACAAATTATTTATTGGGTGTGGGAGACAGCATTGAGAATACGACTTTGTGTCCTCATTAAATTTACGAGTTGACTCAAGGAAATGCCTATCCCTAGCTTTTAAGGACACTGGTGTGACTTGTCGCTTGAACCCCTGGCTGCCGTGCCACGAAATGAAACTTACTTCTATCCAGAATGCATGGATCCCAATAGATTTCTGAGGCTAAGCAGCGTTGAGCCTGGTTAGGACGTGGAAGACTGTCTGGGATTACGAGGTGTCTAAGGCTTGGGCTGTGATGGCACCACAGCTATGGGTTGTTTTCATGTGCAGAGCTTTGAGTGTTACACCCCGATTAAATGGAATTTTCCAAAAACAAATTTGGGACTCGCTGTCCATGATGCGCTTACACAGGAGGTACAAACTGTACACGTCAAGCAACTTCTGATGCCATCGAATGGATTATCACGTTAAACGTTGCTTCTAAAATGTCATACAAAAGAAACTCACTGTGGAGTTCTTGGGAGGTAGAGGGTATACGTATTAAAACCTATGGTCTTACGGTATATTCGAGTCAATTCGACCATAGAACGTGTTCCTCGGTTTCAGTGCAAACTTGATGCTCCCAGCTGACCCATCACGGCCATCTAGTGGGCGATTGAAGGATGGACATCAAAAGCCGCACGTGGCATAACATTGACCCGATCATTTATCTTGCGAGAGGAATATTGAGATTCGGAATCTGTTGTTGTTGTTGTTGTTATAAAATAGATTTGTGTCTGAAGTCAACAGCAATTACTTTAGAGCTTGGATTCTACCGAAGGAATATGAATAATTCTCCCTCTGGCACAGAGCCACCACCAATGCAGACGAGGGCCACAGAACATCTCGCTTGTGCAAGATCTTTTAGGGTGTTGTTGTTTTATTGCAATGTAAGCTCCGATGCCAGCACGATATATTGCCATTTGAGTATGCCGCGCAGGTTAATCTCATCTTGCGTTGGACTGACTAAATACGCAAATGTTTTGGGCGGCTGTGGACATTGAGACGTTGACCCCCCAAAACAATTTGGCTCCGTGGCGGGGACTGCATTCATGGAGACTATCAAACAGTCCCCCGTCATTACCTTGTACCCTCTGCATTATAACCTCGGGGAACTCGTGTCAGATAATCGGGCTGCAACACCGAAAATCCAGGTCTCAATCTGGGACTCGGCCACCTGTAATTAAACCAAGTGCAAGTCCCGATGTGTTTGATGGTCTCAATGATTTGCATTTTGTTTTGTAACTTGTATTAAGGTATTGTCTAAAAAATAATCAGTTGCCATGCAAACAAGGGGTGCACTGCTCACCTGATGGGGCTCAGTCAAAAACGAGATTTTTACACTGCTGGCTATGAGCGTTCCATATGACATGAACACCGCTGAAGCGCAGCTGGGAATGTAATTGGAATCACAACGGAAAGATACACAAAGGTCTGGCTTGATAATCATAACATTTTTTAAAATATTGAAAATATATTTTGTTGTATTATATCGTGTTTATTTGTATATCTTGTCATATACAGTACCGTACATTATACCATTACAAAGTGATTGAAACGTTACTGTCATTCTAAAAACATTATTGCACAAATATGCCGGCATACATTTTCATTCGGAGCAAAGCCTAAAAAATATATTCAGCTTTCTTATTTAAAAAAAAAACAAAAGGTCATCATTAGGGCAAACAGTCGTTCCTTTGATTTTAAATTATTCAGCGCTGTCCAGTAAACTCTCCACGTGTGACATTAACTGTAAACTCTCCACGTGTAGCATTACCAGCTTTCCCATGATCAACAAGACTGCATAAAACACGTATATAAATTGCCTGCGAGGTATTTTCTATTGTGTGCACACCCCACTATCAATAGTAAATATAAATGTTGATTACAGTCGTTTAAACTTGAGTATATAAATGTATAAATGCCACTGTATTTCTAAGTAACATATAAAACTTGCTTTAACGTGCGGGGTTACACATTTCACAGTAAATGCACAATAAGTTCAGTAAAATTGATATTATTCATCAACCAAAATCAATAAGTGAAGCCTTTTCAACAGTGTGTTTTTTGTCACATAGCCAATCTCAAAGATTACTTGTGTTTTAGTGAAGCCGTGTTGGCAGTGCTGGAGAAGCACACACAAAAAACATTTTCATTCATCGAAATCCAACAAGATATATTCTAATGTATGTTGAATTTATTTTGCACCATACATAGCCAAACCATTGTAATTTGGCAATGACCAGAAGGGCCTATTACATACAGGGTGGCTCAAAAATCAGGACACCTAGGGTTATTATATATATGTTAACAAAGTATCTACGGTTATTTCATTTCATTTAACAAATGTTCAAACCCACTTCTATTAACATTCATGCATGCATGAATTCTCTTTTTTGAAAATAATGTACGGCTTCATAAAAGATTAGAGCTGCCATTCTTCTGCATACATAAAAACTAATTGAACTCTTTCATCAATTATCTGTCCATTTTTCAGATTTTTTTATTTATAGATCAAATATTAACTTAAAGAATACACAATTCAAATGGTTTAATATAAAAACAAAACCTTTTTGGGCCACCCTCTATACAGTACATGTTTCTCTTTTAGGGCCATGTTACTGAGAAATGTGTTGAGATTTTGAAATTTAACGAGCTCAGTAATGTGGGTTTCCTGTTAATGTATATGGAGTGAGTAAACTTAAACGTAGCCTTAAAACGTAATTATCTTTGTAAACGTGACAGTTTTGTCAAGTGGTGGAGGGGTTACTGACAAGAATTTTGGTATAAAGCTACCCCGTGGTCTAACGCGAAAACAAATATGGATCGCAGATTATATTATGTCATCCACACCAATGTTCATAACCTAGGGTAGTGTATTTAGCAGTGTATAAGCACCGACTGAAAATCACTCTCATACCATCATAATTAACACTTCCTTTTTATAGAAAAATCGCATGCCAAGAGTGGCCATTCTTAACAAACTATTAAACACTCATGGTGAATAGGCAGCTAAAAGACGTTTCACTGAATGACCTCAGGGCGGGTTTCCTGCCAGCAACTATAAACAATGAATGCATTATTTATACCCATCTCTACTACCGGCACATAGTAGGGATGGGTATGAAGATGGTTCACGATTAATTCTGGCATTGTTGTCATTGTCAACAATTAAGGCATGTACAGTATATGGGATGTATATGGTGCAGCTGCGCACGCTATAATCCAGCGCTTTGGATGCAAGCGTTGGTGATTCACAGATTTGTGACATTGCCAAGCTTGCTGGGCTGCGAGTTAGCCAAGAGATGGCAGTACAGCAAGTGGCATCACACATCCATCTATGTGGAGTTTTGAGTGTAATCATCTTGCATGCTTGAATTATCTTGATATAACTGCTTTGGCGTCCTACCACATGCAAAACACCAATCAGTGAAACTTTCCAAACACCCCAATGCAGAATGCTCCTGAAATGTCATGAGAATCCATGAGGTTTTCCTAAATAACGGGAAATAAATTTAAGTAAGCAAAAGTAGTGCCTTGGCAAGACTTAAATTCAGGCCAATGTTACACCCAGGCGGATATTCTCATTGAGACACGTCATCATCATTATTAAATACTGGGCTTAAGCTTTGACTGGCCTCTTCTGAATCACGACGATCTGTGCTGGCATTTTACAGGGTTCACTTTGTCCGAGTCGTTCAAGGAGAACTGCTGAACGTCCAATCCCCTCTCGCCCTCCAATCCAAACCCTCCTCTCTCTTCGGTCGTATCAGGTCCACACGTCCTGCAAGTAGCGCCCCTGCTCCTTGAGGCCGCCAATCACCCTCATGGCCTCCAGCTTGGCAACACCCGTCTCCTCCACCACCATGCCCACCAGAGTCTCCTGCACATCCCTGGCCATGTTCTTGGCGTCCCTGTCAACAAAAGTGGCATGTTAAAAGTGCAACCGCCAAAAACATTGCTAGGTGTGAGTTTACTTATATATGAAAAAAATTACAATTCACGGCAATGTGGCAGCCAAAATGTGGCTATTTTAAAAAGAGAATACTCACCTGCCTTTAAAATTGCTGCTCTGATAAATAATTGACATATTCTGCTGTGGCATTCCTGTACTATTCCCCCCCGTGAATCACCCTTGAAAAATAACTTGCTCAATGTGTGATAATAGGTTAAATACTAAAATGTAATAACTGATTAAATGGGGGGGAAAGGGTAGTTTTAGGATACTGCTAATTGATCAACTTGTTCCAATTTGCTCAAACTGTCGAGGATTGGCATACAATTCCGACAATGGACCTGGCTCCGCTGACTACACAAACACAGGGGGATTTCACTTTGAAGATTCAAGGACTTGAAATAAGCACCGTGGTGGTAGTGGGTTGGTGTTGAGGCTGCCTGGATGTTTTAATGGTGCAACTGTCCTGTGAACGAGTCAAGAAAAGCACAATGCTCCCAGTGCTCACTGAAGACACTTCCCCCCATCTGTCCCGACAGTTTTAGTAAGAATGCGAGAATATAAAACACACAAAGCAGTCGTAGCCCAGGGACGTCACTATAACATGCTTTGGGGATTTACATAAAAGTCTAATTACCCCACACGAAACCTCTTGATCTCCCATGGACTTAAAAATCTTTCTGGACAGTCTGGTACACAGTCTAGAAATCCAATGTTGGGCGAGGGGCTCCCCATCACGTACGGACCGTAGGAGGTATTTGACGATACTTCACCAAACTGGGCAATGATGGTCCGTCAGCAGCGGAAGCATGCATGACCAATAACACAACATGTATATCAAACCGTCACGTAACCTCCCTGACGAACCACCGACATAAACCCAGCGTGTGCTACGCGCGGCCGCAAACGCTTTTCTCGGCTGCCGAAAATGCTCACCCGCACACGTAGAGGCGTGCACCCTCCTGCAGCAGCAGACGCATCACGTCGGCACGGTGCAGACCAAGAATGTGCTGCACGTACCGGGGGTGTGCTGCCCCACCCGGGCTCGCGACCTCTGACCCCGCAGGCTCGTCACGAGAGAAGGCCACCCGTAGGTGGGTGAGCGTGCCGCGTGCCACAAAGCCCTCCAGCTGCTCCCTAGAGCAAGACGGAACGAGGTTGTTGTTGTTATTCAATAACCATCGATGGAATGTTTTGTGGCAAGTAATTATGAATTGTGATTAGAAAGCTTGTTCATGAAACATCAACGTATTTTAATTTGACTTCCAATCAGGGATCAAACCAAGCTCATTAGCTTTCTGGAGTTGAAAACGTGAGTACCACTTTGTGGGAAGATGAGAAGCACCCAACGCCAACTAATCGTTATATTTATAGGAACTAAAGCAAAACTCTTGTTTTTTTACGAATTGCTGTTGTTTTGCAGCCTTTTTATTTATAAGGACCAAATACACAGTCCTATATGTGATTAAACTTTTTAAACTATAAAAAATTACAGTGCCATAAGTATGCACATCATTCACCAACCACACTTTTGGGTTCGTTTATTACTCATTATCAGCATGTTATGCAAATGTACTTTAGGAAAGTTAACACTTCACTAAGAATTAATCACTATGAACGTTAATATCACAAAACATAGTGAGAATTATGCTAAAGAATACAAATGTTGCCAATTAATCTCCAATTATGTCACTTTCATCTGGCAATGGTGAGCACATGTTGACCTTAGCACACGTGGTCGGAATAACATTGAGTTCTCTGGATTCACAGCGCACGGTGTGCGAGCCGCTACTTACTTCTGCCTCCCCCCATACACATACCAGCAGGGAATTACGACACAGTCACCGTTGGTGTTTGGTATACAAGGATGGCAAAACTGAGTTGCAGTGGCACTCTCTCTGCAGGGCTCGGCCACCTCTGCTTCACAGGTAAGGGGGCCCCCCCCCGCTCCCCGCTCCAGCAGGCGCTCACCTGTAGAGGAAGTCGCGGTCTCGGTGGCGGCAGCCAAAGAAGAGCCACGACTCCCCGAGCACCGCGGCGCCCCCACTGGCCTTGTGCTCTCTGGGGCACACACACAGGCATGCTCCTGCTGAGTCATAGCTTGTGGCACAAAACGCTCCGTCCACAACCAGCATTACGTGCCGCACTGCTGCATCGGTAGTCCGACTCATCGCTAAACACCTCGCACCGATCCGACTTAAACGCACTCCGAGGCTCATACCACGGGAGTCCATTTGTGCATTTAAGAAGGGATTCTTTTCCAAAGCATGCCAAAACAAATTACTTAACTTTACTTATAAGCCACTACCAACTTTACAAACACCATTAGGGTAAAAATAGAATAATTTCAAATTGTATTGTAACCTCCAATTGTAAAATGTATCAAATAATGAATGTGCGAATAGTTACAATGAAACCCATGACATTTACTATTAACCTCAACAGTTGCGTATTACACGTGGCGAGAGTGTTAGTATGGTTGGGAGATAAATTCAGTGCATTATCCCTCAGGGGCAGTTCATAAAAATACACTTTGCATCCATCCACACAGCGGGCATTAAGGGAATGTGGACAGAATGCTCCGACAATTGGTCAAAGACACACTGGGAGGAAGGCGCAGCGACGGGCAGGCTCACCGGTGCTGTAGGAATCCCACAAAGGGGGCGACACCGGTGCCGGGCCCGATCATGATGATGGGGACAGACGCATCCTCCGGCAGACGGAAACCTGTACTCTTGCGCGCATATATGGGGATCTGCCAACAGCCAGACACGACTTCATCTCAACCAACAGCATTACCAGCATGAAGAGCAACACAAACAACATCATTAGCATTTACACTATCGGCAGCATTATCACAATATGGATAATTAGCGGCATAAATTGTAGCACCTTTAACATTACCACCATTATGAAGATTAATATTATCACCACCATTAACATCTTCATACATTTCCAAATACACTTACCAGTATCATTACCTTACCACCAGTGACCATAATTATAACAATCACCACATTCATCAGCACCACTATTAAGAATGCCTGCAGTGTCATGATCATTAATATTGTTGATATCAATACCCATACCTCAGCATAATTACCATCATTATAAATTTTGCCTTGTGATTACCATTTTATTTTACAATGCACCTTCCACTTTTTAAACGTTATACAAATACGATTATTTCGTGATAAATCATTTGTTGAAATGCCTATCAATTTTGTGAGTATATTCTACAAGGCTGGAAGTGTATCGATGTATTTGTATGCCATATTCATGAAATGTATTACCAGTACCAATAACAGGTACAGTGGAATACAATGTTAAAATGAATTTCAGAAACATTTCACACTTGTAACATAAACTATTTATGGTTTAATAAGCCTCGACAAAAATAAACGCCGGATATTAAAAACATTACAATGCCATTACAGCAGTATTTTTACAATGTAAAATATTTATGATTTAATATGTTGTGACAAACCATAAATATTGAATGATCACACAAAAAAAACAGCTAAGAAATGAGCACATGGCTGCCACGAGCGATTTTTTTTTACCGATTAACAAAAGCATCAATCACGCATCACACGTGGCTAATGCGACGCAGCGGCCAGAAAGCTCATCAAATTTTTCATTTTTCAAACCGCATCACGATGAACATGTTCTTAATCATTTTCAATAAGGAAACACGGCACTCCCTTTAAGTAATAATTTAGAGCAATTCGTCAGCCCACTGTTGGATCTTGGTTTCCACACACTCGGTTGGTAATATTGGCGGGGGGGGGGGGGGTTGGTCATAGTTAATGCTCAGTCAGCGAGGCTTGGTGAATGATGAGTCTTGGATTAATTCACGCATCACTTGCCTTCGGTGTTAGCCAAAGCTGGGAATGCAACCCAGCTCAATGGGCTAATGGTGTAGTGTGTGAACCACTGTGTCACTGCTACCCACCCTGCTTTGGGTGGTGGCGAAATGCCTGTAACGAAGCGACTTGGAGGCAATGTGCAAAGATGTGTAAACATCACGCGAAAGAGACACCCAACTTGCACAGCAATACGGCGCCTGTAGGAGGCAGCAGAGCGTTTATTTTGTCGACCCATCTGTGCCGTGGAATCTGAGTGCCATCTCCTCGTGTGGGCTTTCTTTAGGAAAGAAATGCGGCTTGAAAAAAAATATGGAACATATACAACAGTACAGGACCCACCTGCAAAATCCCTTGAAACTCCAGAAGAGTTTTTTTTATTAAGTTACTATCCGTGTCATCGGTGCTATTATCCAGCGCTTTATGAAGTGGGGTTGTATGATCTTAAGAGATATGCTGCCAAACTGAACCATAAACATTCATTCCTGGATGCTTAGTGAAACGGACCTTTGTGGCTTTAGAAGACGGCAGCTCTGAGTCAGCGAGGGATGCTCCAGAGAGGTTGGAAGGCTGGGGGGAGTTCTCCTTGGCCTCAGGACCGACGGCCACCTCCGCCAGCCAGCCCGTGCACACCCCGCGCTGCGCTTGCGGTCGGCCAGGACCCGCCGCAAACTCCACCACGTTGAACACCACGTGTGCTGCTCCTGGGGTCACGAGCGGAGAGCTGCAGCAGGGAGACGAGGGGTATCTAAATGCTCGGCAACGCAGAGACAATTTTTTACATGGCACCCATTGCCCACACAACGCACACGAACACATCCCAGCGCACACCGCTTGCAACACTCGCCACATCCTGTACTACACAGAGCATGCTACACAGCACGCACTCCTCAACACGCACAAATACAACACATCAAATGCCCTACTATACTGCCCCATGAACTCTCCAATGCAATGATTTGCTCCCGAATGCTACTGTGTATCACCATCGCCTCCTGGTGCTGACAGTTCACCATCCTAGTGCTGCTGCTGCTTAAGTTGAGCATTCAGAGAGAGTTTTGTTTCAGTTCTTTGACAGTGATATTCTTCTCGGAGCATTACAAACATATTTGCATGGTAAGAATTACCTTAAGGTGTCAAGTGGCTCAGTGAGTAATAGGACTGAGCCAGCATTGGCCAGATATACTCGATTCATATTTGGATTTCATCCACTCACATGTAGCTATGTTGACTGCACAAAAAAACTATCACTCTTAATTTGATTTTCAAATCGTTTGTTTGAACAGGGATACACTTTGATGCTGACTTCACTAAACTGAATCTCAAGCTCCTGCAAGAGGCAAAAGACATTCATCTGGAAGGGGAAAGTTTTGGAACATTACTGAACCATGCAGATCTCTGGGTTACTGTCGATTGAAACAGAACACGTTTTGATCCTATAAACATCACTCGATGAGCATTCTCCAGGTCACCTGCAACTCAGTGCATCAGGGTTTTTAAAACCAGCAGAGCATGAACAGCAAGCGATAATACAACGCTTCCAAGGTGCAGTGCATCGTACCTGGCAATGGAATAGGCCCGGGGTTGCAAACGCGGCAAGTGTTCTGCACACACAGGGCACCGACACGAAGAGGCACTCAGAGGCAACATTGATTGTAAGTAGGGTTACAATGGTTGTGGAAGGGCAAAAACAATCATGGGAAGGCATCAGTGATTGTATGGAGGTGTCAGTAGCTGTACGAGAATGAGAGCGTTTGCAGGATAGCAGCATTGGTTGAAGGAGTGCAGAAAGTTTCATTGGGATGGCAGTGATTGTAAAAGGGTAATGGTTGCTGAAAAGCAATGGCGATAAAAAGAGTTAACAGAAGTAATTAGAATAAGAGCTGACAGCGGTTTTAGAAGGGCGACAGCAGTTGTGTAGAATGACAGCAGTTTTAGTTGGGGATCAAGAGTTTTGCGAGTGCAGCAAAAGTTATACACGGTAGTCAGGTGGCAGTAATGGGGGGGGGGGAGGATGGGGCGGCAGTAATTATAAGAGGACGACATCAGGTGTCGGAGGGCATCAGCAAATGTAAGAGGATGGGCACCTCTAATGAGAGCGGCACCTCCGATTATCACGGTTGGCTACGTACGGTGCAAAACAAGTTCAAGTTACATACACACAAAAAGTTTGGCGGTGAAGAACGATAGCGGCCGTTGAAGACTAGCGCTGCCGACTCGAGGGACGGCAGCAGCTACCGGAGAGAGGCAGCGGGGCGAGCGGGTACCAATGAGCAGGCTGGCGGGCGGCCGGCAGGACGGGAATGCGTGCAGCAGGGCGGCCACGCCGAGGCTGGCATCCCGCAGCAGGTGCGTGTAGTCGGCCGAGCCCTGGCGGCTGCACAGCTCCAGCAGGCGGCGGCGCTCGGACTCATCCTCCGCTGTGCTCCGCCAGTGCGCGGACCATCGCCTGCACGAGGGGAGAGAGAGAGAGGGGGCCAAGGGCCGCACATCAGGCTCAGCGATTCGTTCGTCGGTGTCTTCGTTCAAACGGAAGGGCAAAGCGCAGTTGCCAAAGCCGATTTCTGGGTGTGCAATGTTACGCATTGCTTTTGAACGTTCGTTTCTAATTACTAATTACTCAAGGTTTTCCAAGCGTAAAGTAACCCTGTAATTGGCAAGTTTATAAGTCGCATATTCTTATTACTTGATCGTATCGATGATGATGATGATGCCTGTGATCAGATAACCTAGAATGTGCCCAATATCGTCAGTCTTGGAAGCTAAACAGGACGAGCCTGGATTGTGCTTCGATGGGCGACCGCCGCGCAAAGCCAGGATGTCAGATGCAGCAGCAGGGCTGTGCTACAAGGTGGTCATCACCTTCTACCAGCCCATGCCGAGCAGCGTGGTGAGGTAATGTCATACAACGCTCACGACCCACAGTGTGGCGATCACCTCATCAAGCAGTGGACTGACCGTTACACAATTACAGCCTCAATTCCTTTTAACAAACACTTTTCATCAGAGAATAATTTTTATTATTGATCCCCCAAATTGTTCCCTGTGTGGAGGACCGACTCAAGCTGCTGAACTCTTGTGGTTGGACTCCAGTGATAGCAGTGTGAGAACAGCCGAGTCAGTCGGTGCCGAATTGCGGCTCTGTGCACCTTCTTTGGCAGGGCTCGGATTTCCAGGCCGTGAGTGAGGATAGACCGAAGGGAGGAGCCGGCAGGGATGAAGTCGGGCACCTTCGAAGCTGAGGGAGTTGGGGGGGGGAGATTTGGAGAGGCGGTGAAAAGTTCAACCTCGAAGAGATTTATATTATCGCTCAAATTAAACAAACATCACGGACTAATTCGCTACAAACTTCATAAACTGCAACGTTAAAATTACTCTCGCATAAAACTCAAAGGTCATTATCTTTGGGTGGCGCTCGTCTCCAATGGTGATTCTGAGCTTGGGAAATAAATACAGATTCTTGTGGCTGGAATGTATTCTCCGTGTAAAAACTACTGGCGACTTCCTACAAGTGGTCCTCATGTACATCCCAGCATGAAGATGGTCCGAGTTCACCAGTGAGTAGGATTTGAACGTGTTACCTTTAGACTGTGAACAGAGCAGTCTGACCACAGGATTATATGGATGGACACTACTGAGATTAAAACCAAACAAAAAACGATAGAATGTAAAAACTAGATTTAAAATACAGTACATTACATATCCAACTGTCGCATATTTACCCTGACCAAATAGCCACCTACTTCTAAAGCACACCGCACATAGCCAACCGAGCTAATTGAAGGTGCTTAAAGCAGTTTCACCTTTATTTTTATCACGTAACCTATGTTGGTGCCTGGCCTAATCCTTTGTTTTCTAAACATGTTCACATATCCGCCTACACCTCAGTCCCCAGAGAGTTGGGCACGTGACGTTGTACCGGCACAGCGACAGAGGTATGCGAGTGTGCGAGGAGCGTTGGGCTGGCTGCGTAGACGGCTTTACCGCGGCCCCTCGCGTTGGGCTGGGCACGCAGCTCGAGGGCGCAGTCGGCCTGCCCGTCGAAGGCCCAGCCTCCGCAGGAGAGCGTCCACCTCGGCCTCGCCAGTTGGGGCACAGCACGCCCAGCGCGTCGCCGGGGCACAGTGCAAACGGCTGCGTCCTGCCAGCGTACGAAACATATCTTTAATATACATATCACGGTTGCTAAAGACAGGCCAAAAGACCACAACGCCAAGTGGCAAGTAACAAACAGCACTCTTGTCGCTGTAATAGAAGAGTACTTTTCTTACTTATTGAAGGCCAAGTGAACATAAGGGAGGCTCAGGACCTGATGTTGGCCAACTACTACACTACCACTCCCCACGTACGCACACATACCCACGCACGCATACACGTAAGTACGTGTGCACAAAGAGTTTCCTGAATTCTGAGCTTTAAAGCACCTCAATGATGGATCAGAGTAGGTAGGAGGGTACCAATACTGGGCCACAGAACACAGATGTTCCCAGTACTAAGAGGGTCTTCCCTGCACAAGAACGAACGTCCCTTTGCCCCCAACTCACGGAGACGTCAAGTTGCAGCTCCAATGCAGTCTTGACGGCATCAGCACGGGTCAGCTGCCTCCACCCGCTCACAGCCACCTCGCACACCTCCGAGGCCGCCTGAGGGAGGCTGGTAGCTGCCGGAACAAGCCAAGGCACCTGTAGAGCAGGCAGAAGGAAACACGCGTCAGCAATTTGCTATCGACAGCAATCACGACGGTCAGCGGATGCTGGCGCAATGGTTGGCACGGCCGGATCGCATTGGAAACATTGAGTTTAAATCCCAACAGAAATGTCAACTCGGCTCGTCAATTAATTATCTTGGGTGGATAAAAAAGTGCCCTTTTTACGTGCAGTGAACAGCAATTCTCCTCTGAAGACGCTGGCCCCTGCCAAAGCGATATGAAATTTCCACAACAGGTTCAGGGCCAGAGGGATAAAGTGATGCTCCATTCGTTAAAACAAATACCTGTGTGACATTAACTTTATGTAACTAAGATAGCTACTTTTGTCAAATGTTACACGTTGAGATATACATGGTTTGGGGTTCAAAGCATCATGGCATAGCCCCACAATACCCTGCAAGCCCTGCAGATTGCACACATGTGCACTGCATCTGAATATTGGCACCCCATTTTAATGATGTAACATCCAAGCCAAATGTCAGCTGTAAAATAATGTCACTTTTATGAGACATCATTAGTGCAGCAGATCCCATATAGTTTATCGTGTCCTGGATAGATTGTTTAAGGGCGCTTTATAAATTACATTTATTATTTACATAACACTGTTATATAACCTCCATCAAGTGATAATGGTGGTAAGTATTCAAGTGATCAGCTGTAGATATGTAATATTAACACTGGTGAATTTCCCCCCAAAAACCACCTTTGTGGGTGTAATACCAGTTAAAATGCCACAATACATTGCAACGTAGCAGCTGCTGCACTCGCTTTCTCAAAAGTAAAATAGAACTGATGTCCAAATGCCAGTGCTATTAGCATTGTCACAATGATACAAGGCCCAACACACATGAGCAAGAGAGCGGAAAATGTGCTTTCTTACACCGGGTCTGCTGGGATCAAACTGCAGCTCCAGGTACGGCTCTGGCAATGAGGGCACCTGGAGGGTGGCTTCAGAGAGTGGAGGCACAGACACAGTCAGCGAAGGCACGAGGGGCTTCTCGGGCAGTGCGGTGGAGCCCGGCGTTGTAGAGGAATCTGTGGATGGCTCCCAGAGGCGTGCTAGTGGCTGGGTCTTGACAGTCAGGTGTGGGAACCAATGCAGATGGGGAGAGGCTAGAGACAGGAGGTACAGGTGGAGGCAGTGCAGCTTGGATCGCCAAATCCTGGACTATGTAGTCACTCCTCTGAACCTCAACTTCAGGACCTTCCGTACTTCTAGCCTCGTGGTTACTACCGACAGTGCACCGCCAAAAGTCCATTGGCCAAAGAAGAGATATTCTCTGCAAAATTGCCCTGTTGCCTTCTCTGTAGAAATACTGTTTTGTCCAAGATTTACATTCACAGGGCTGGACAACGATCCATTACTTAGCATGGCGATTGCATTACTGCCGTTAGCTTGATATTCCACATCTCGTTTTGCATTTTGCGCTTCACTGCCATCAGACTTTGGTCCTTGATCAGATGATTTATCTTCCTGTGTCTGATCCAAAGTCTTCTCTGTCGACTCTGAGATCTTCTTCCCTGCGTCTCCGTGCTCTTGATCGCGCTCCCGAGGTGGCGAGACCTCTGCGACACGCTCGCCCACCCGACTCGTGCCGCCCCCTTCTTGCTTACACTCCGACACAAGGGCCTCCCAGAGCCCCTCCACCCACGGCTCTGCCACCAATTCGGTGCTGCAAGACAGTAATGCGCGTTATCATACATACCGCATACACAATGCACCATATCAAGATTCAAGTGCCTGCACTCTCAGGCGAACATAGGGGTGCTGCCCATCTCCAATGCTGGCCCTTAGCCAGAGGGAGGAAATCCGTATTCTCATGGTGAAGCCAGTACATTCATAGAATGCCCACTGGTGACTTTCTACAGTGGTACTCATCCTATCCTGATGGTGGGTGAAGTCGTCCCTTGAACAGGACTTAAAACTCACAACTTGTTAATTGAGTCATGCCATCTCAAAACATGACCCACCTGGGTGAATATGAACTAAAAGACAAAGTGTCTCCCTAATTAAGTGAGCATTAAGTGATCTCATTTGTGTTAGTAGCATTGAGCCATTGGGAATTAATTAGAGATAAAAACATAAATAAATACTTTACTGTTTGAGCATGCACAAATTATCTTTAATTAAGTATCGATATGGATGACAATTCTGGTATAGTTCAATATGATCTTATCACAGCCAAGAGGCACGGTGTCTTACGACATCAAGTGTCAGAACAAAATGTTTAAGAATCTTGCACAATCACAAGATCTTAGGCAATCATCCTCTACAGAGAGCAAAAGAAACACATGTTGTTTGGCCTAAACAAACTTTAAAAGGACAAAACCGAGAGGCACTGGGAAAGAAAGTTGTCCATGGGCAGTTAAAATTAAATAACTTCTAATTCTATGCCATGGTTAACTTTCAAATTTTGGAGTTGGGCTACGATGCTATGTACATACATAATATCCTCCTTTCTAGAATTCTGAATTGGCAGTTTACAATGTTAAATTTTCAGCAGATGTTATGATTTCATAATTCTCAGCTGAAACTTCCAGAATGTCAGTTCCATGCAAATTATCTCAGTGGCAAGTTCAAAGATATGTGGCATATCCGGCAGGGAAATAGACAGCTGTTATAAAAACGATTATATTGTATGATGATTTAAGCCTGAAAATTAAATGTCTGGATAAACCAACAAACTGTTTAAGCTCTGCTGATAGATAGATTGTATCTTAAATAAGTTATGGGCAATGTAATGAATTAGTCAAGATGCTAAATTACAGTCATAAAATCAAAACCAATGTTTTTTCTGAAGAAATAAAAAAAAGTTGGCCGTATTTTCCAAGCATTAAAATAACCCCAAATAATGTACTTATCAAGGACTAGTTTCATTCAGGACCATGATAACATATCGAAAACAATGACTCATAAGAATTAAGTGAATGCCCGAAAATGATATCAGAAAATTAAAAGTTTAGTTGCATTTAACGTCCAATGTCCTGACCATAAATGTCCAAATTTGTCAAGCAGCACACTTGCTGAGCTTCTGGAAATGTCGGTGCCAAAATTGACAGATAGTGTATGAATGATAATGGTTGGAGATGGTGGTGATGAAGATTGTGTTTGTAACAATAGCACGATTGCATGTATGTTGAACTTATTTCGTATCGTACGTTGACAGCCGTGTTAATTGGAGGTAGGAGGACAACAAACTAAACGAAAAAAGCCGTTCTAAAGAAATGCGTGTTCAATAGAGATTTAAAAGTGCATAGCTCCAGTGGCTTCCTAATATCGGAAGGAAGAGCATTCCAGATGGCCACAGAAGTGCATCTGAAAGTGCTCAATACTGAAGATGAAGGCATTGGTGGTAGAGATGTTGGTGGTGATTTACATTTAAAGTCCATATCGGTGTGCTTGTAAAAAGGCGTACCCCACTGCATCATCAGCGTGCCCCGTTCGGTAGAAGCGCTGCGCTCCCAGCTCTGCCAGCCTGCGATCCATCGTCCGCCCACAGTTACAGAAGTTTGTGTAATTCGTGTCGCCCAGTCCTGAAGAAAAAAAAAAAACAGCTGACAGTCAAACTCTCTATAAACCACGATGATTGACTTTAAGCAATAATTTCAACTATGCTTCTCTCTGTAGTGTGGTGGCCTGCTACATTTGAATAAATTGACAAATAACATCTGTTGTTTCAAGGTAAAAAAGAAAAAAGTGGGATCACACGTGCGCGCGGTGAGATGTGAAATTTTACCGAGCAGTGCATAGCGTAGGTGCTGGAAATGGTTTTCGAGGAGGGATTTCTGATTGATGTAGCGGACAAACTTTATCGCCTTTTCCGGGGGATCCCCATCACCGGTCGTTGACACAATGATCACCACGGGGTCTCGCTCGGTATCCAAGTCAAACTGCCAGACACAGACAAGCATTACACGCGCATGTATGCACATACGCACTAATGGTTCCATCGTTTTGCCTTTTAGGCTGCCGAGGCAAGTGCCGTTAGCAAGGAGGGAAGAGCGGATGACAAAAATGGGATTTCAACTTGCAAACTTTTGATTGTGAGCCGAGTAATGCAGCCACAATTCCACTAGCAGAAAGCAGGCAAACATAACAAATATATAAGAGGACTTTTTTGGGGAAATGGCTCTTCTTCCTGGAGTTCGCCGGTTCTACGGTACCTTCCAAGGTCGGCTGCCCTATGGGAGACCTTTGCTCTTTTAAAAAGAAAGGTCTTCCACTCTCAACACTCCTCCGGCCCCAGGTCCTCACCTCGTCGTGTGTCTTGCTGAGGCAGTGCAGGTCTGCCTCGAGACCGAACCGCTCCGCCTGGGCGCACAAGTCCTGCGCGATGGCCTTGGCCGTGCCGATCTCCGTGCCGTAGAGCAGCAGAAAGCGGCGAGCCGAAGTCAGGCTCGGCATGGTTCGGTCCTCCTGGCAAAACACACGCGACTCCCGTCGTCCTCTCGTTGGCCTCGGTGGTGGTCCAGTGGCAAAATGTCAAAGGGTCAAACTCCGTTCAAATAATCACTGGCACCCGAGTCAGTGGAGAAAATTAGATCCATCTGTGATAGGGCCCAGCCTCGCAATAGGGCAACCACTGCTGACATCCCACAAACACTGTGATCCTGCGATATTTCGTCAAACTGTCTGACCAGAGGATTAAATAAGTGGCTCCCACGCCTCTTTTAAATTACCGTTCTTCAAATATAGTACGTACTGTGCACCCTTTGAGCAGCGGATTCTGCAAGGAATGAAACACGTAGTCGGGGTGATATACTGGGACATGCCGTACAAGGCTATCTTGTGTTATCTGTCATCAGCATGATCAATCATTCCACAGAGGCCTTCATCCAGAAGTGTATTTACATACACTCACTATACACACACACACGTACGATCATGCGCACTGCTGTACCTAGAACAATAATATACAGTCCTCTGCCAATCCACTGCTGGATGAAGACTTCATTACGTTACGTCAGTTTCGGACGTTGTTTTGACTATACTTCACCACGCTGGTCAGTGCCGCTTCAGACACCACTCGCCACTGATCACCACGCAAAATGGCCTAATTCAACAGAAGCCAAAGTGCATCTGCTCAAATTCGTGGCGCGCATTCCATATTCCCAGGGCGGGGACCCAGTCTATCCACATCGCACTGCTGATTTTCCCACAAAGACTAATTTTATTGACCACTGAGGAACGATAGGCTGACAAAACATCCGAACACTGAGCCCCTGGTACTGTCATAAGACCACCAGTAACCACTGTATAACCACATTATACGGTGCGTTGGAGTAACTTACTACGAGAACACGACGTTACACACGCAGCAACACCAACGGCTATAACACGACAAGAGAGTACAATCGATACATCACAAGACAGGCGGTAGGGTAAACGTGTACTTGTGTGTACTTACAGAGCCACACGCTCCACGCCACACGACCAGAGGACACTGAGCGAAGAGCGGCTGATGCCACACCGCGCAGTATATATAGCATGGTGGAGTTAGATTCCGTAGACCGTACTGACGAACCAGGCCAATGGCAAGCGAGCTATGCCAGCACGTGCTTTCGAAATTGATACGCTTGATAGGAGTGGCACAAGGAAACACGTGTTGGCGAGAAGAGAGCGGTGGCGCAGCGGTTAGCGCGCTGCGATAGGAACCCTGGCGGCCCGAGTTCGATTCTCGCTCACGGCCACCAACACCAGTGACGATAATCTGAACCGGTCCTGGGCCCTCCCCTAGGTCGACTCAGCCTCAGATGAGTACCTGGCGCGGTGTATAAAAATCGCCACTGGGGAGACAAAGGCGGCCGGGCGTGGTGTTGGACACCCACCTCCCTCGTGTGCCGTGCCGGCCTTCATAGGTGCTCGCGAACAGCGAGCACCGAGCACCTACGTGACTTTACCGAAATAACCAATAAGATCTACACGAGGGGTCTTTCGGGGTGGGTATTACGTCATAGGCACTCGGCACTTTGGCAAAGTGACAGACGATAAGTGTCATAATGTGTGCAGTCGTCATTAGCGTCCCAGTATAGAGGATATAAATAACAAAATATATAACCAACACAACGTATCTCATTCGTATATCTTACTCGCCATGTGACATTTTTAAAGCGTTTTTTTACGTAACTCATCGGCCCCGGCGCCTTCTGGAAGTGAATAATTTCAACAGCGTTGATTCAGCACAAGCTCACGGTTTAATAATTAACATTACAATAATTTGCCGATTAAAGTGACGACCCCCTTCTGGGATCGCTCTGTCACCATCCCAGAATCTCATCCAGATGCCGAAGAACCCTCGCGGCCTGTGGAGCAAGGTGGGCGCTCAGAATAAACATCTCACTCGAGAGAGACACTAACATCGCACATCCTGGCTTTGACATTCCTCCTCGAAGACACCGGTGTAACCATTGACCGTATAACAATATCAACAGGCCGATGCGCACATCTCCTTCATCAATTGAAAAGTCTTTAAAGACAAGCCACAGAGCGAATGTGGCCATGGAACCCAAACTATGGACCATGTGTGGTAAACCACTATCTGCGCTCCTTCTTAAGATCCACTCAGCTCCTCTCTCTCCCGTCGCTCCAATCAGAATATTTATTTATGCTGGAGGAATCCTATGAACTATACAACTCTTTTTCGCGGATGTCCCTCCTTATTACGACAAAAAATCCATTTGCTAAGACTTTAATAAAAAAAAAACGTATTTGTCCCCTGTCAAACATCCGATGAAGACCGACATACATGGCTTGCTTGAAGCACCCCGAGTGGAAAAGCAAGCACGGCTAAGATGACAGGCCGTGGTTGTATCGAGAGCAGACCACCCATGCAACTGTGGCACGATATAATTCGTCTGTGGAATAAGGAAGCGTCATGCGTGCATGAGCCAAATCCTGTCAATGGGAAGCAATGCCAGACAATTACCAACCAATGAAGAGTTGGGAATCGAACCCAGGATTTTCTTTCTCTGAGGCACAAGCAGTCCCCACTGTGCCACCTTGCTGCCCAACATGGAACCAAACGCGTAAACTACCACTTGAGTCATGTATATTTTCTTAGAAATAACAAAAACAAATGTGCCAACGTTCTCGTAACTTTGTGTTTACAGATGATGTGCAAAGTTTCCTGTTTAAGTTCCATGTGTTTGTGCAATGAAACTTGGCTGGGGTAAAAAAAATCGGAGGCATTACTGAGTGGCCCTCATCCAGAGAGATAGGATGCCGGGACATGGGGACAAGGAGACATGGAAAATGCATGAGGCAGTGAAACATGGAGACAGGAACACAACAATAGAGACAGAAGAACCAATAACTGCACTTAAATTAACATGACAGCTTCAGCGCGATTTAATTTTACCAACTTGTATGAGTGCACTACCACCAGAGAAGAGCCGGTCAGGTACGGCACCCGCAGTAAAGAGGCTATACACCCATTTTCTTTGGGTCTTTCGGTAAAGCGACGTAGATAGAAAAATTATAATAAAAAATATCACGACGTTTTCGATCGCAACACAAGCAATCGTCATCAGGTGAAAAAGTATAGCGGGAGAGTTACTGAGGCAGGAAAGGCAGTGATTTTTTTTTTTCTATATACGTGGCTTTACCAAAAGACCCAAAGCATATGAATTCCTGAAGTCACGAAAGCTTGAGGTCAAGATTTATATACCCATTGTTACAGACAGCATTGGCAATACACGTACAGGATTGTGACTGATTGGATGCATACATTGTTAACACAATACTGTAATTAAAAAAAAACACCTGTGCATACGCATGAAGACAAACATCCCGTAATTTTAATAAAATCGTAGCACCCAAAATATCTATGAGGTCTGAAATAATAAAAAAAGGTTTATCTTTTCAACTTTAAACATAAACGCAATTACATTTTTAAAAAGTAAATAACTGTGTGGCTTGTTCATATACTACATAAAAAGTAAACATCGAAGAAACAGCAAAATCAACAGGTGTAAAAGTGAAGTTTATCTAACGATGGCCACATTTTCATTTGATCGTGTTTTGCATTGTTACACTGCTGCAATTGTGCTCGATCGCATTCAGCAATAATTCACGACGGGGTTTTTGCGCTGTTCACGTCTTCTTCTTCTTGCCACCCTTCTTGGCTTTCTTCCCGGTCTTTGCCGACTTCCCAGAGGTGCGCGCTCCCTTGCTGCTGGATCGAGATTTCTTCTTTCCACCTGAACGCGTCCGATCTGCTGGCAGAGCGAGTCGCCTTGCCGCTGGACGCTTTGCTCCCGGAGTCTCGCCCCGTGCCACCACGACCCTTCGCCCCGTCCGCCTTTTCCTTCGGAGGAGGCGCGTACTCCACCCGGCGGCCCTGGCAGCTCTTCTGCATCACGCGCAAAACGACCCCATCTCAGTAGCTCAACGTAAAACATTTAGACAGAGATAATAATGATACGATGGGGGAGGTGCTGTCATCCAGCCATTTGGAGGCAGGGTTTTAGTGGACCGTGCGTGCAGAGATGGAACTTGCCAGAGGCTCCCAACTACAGTAATGTAATGTGCCTTGAGAAGACGGGAGAGGTTGGTTGTCGACCTGTATGTGTTTTCGTGTTGTCTCTTTGTATTTATGGGGTTTGTCTGGACTGTCTAGTTTTCTCTGACAGGCAAAAATATTAGTTTTATGTAAAACATTAATTGGTGATTTGTTTTGGTTTCAAATACTGTATGTACCCTTCTAATTGTATACTACAGACTTGATTTGAAGCTTTCGTGACTGCAGGAATCCATACTCTTTGGTTCTTTCGGTAAAGTCACATAGGGTATGTATACTACAGTATAACAGTATAAAACATCTTGAGAATTACTGAGACTATCATGGGTAAATTTGTTTTTTTAAATAACCCAGTGAGAGTCCATTGCGATATAATATGACGTCTTTGTAATATGAAAGCTAGGACTTGTTATGTTGGGACAGTTAAACAATTTCAGTTTAATTGGACACGTGGCGTAGTATGTGAACCATCGCATCAAGCAAAGAAAGTATTCTGCATGTGTTGTGGATGTCGAGTAATGTGTAAGTGCTGTGTTCTCACTGTCCATGCCACGGTGGTGAGATGTTAACTGCCTCGCCAGGTATACAGGATGTCGTGGGTTCAATCCCAACCCTGACGCCTGCTGTATATTTTGAGTTTGCATGTTCTCCCCGTGGTCGCGTGCATTTTTCTCCGGGTCCTCTGGTCTTACCATCCACATTTACGAACATGCATTTCGAGTATTTGGATGCTCTACATTTCCACGTGATAAGCCACTTCGTTGAGCTATCATTTGTGATAGTCAGGTCCCTTCTAATAAAGAGCTATATAGCTCAGTGGACCTTACCTGGTAAAAAAAAAGTTTAGTTTTACGTCCATGTATTCCACACCTGAAAGCATTTCCTACAGCGACCAGGCTCGCTCATGCAGCCCGTGAAGTCTCCACGGCCGCATGCACCGCAGTAGCGCGTTCCACACCATTTGCACATGAACGTCTGGGATCGGGCATCAGGGGAGGACAAAGCAACACAGTTGAAAAAAGTCAAGTTCGTGTCCTTTCTGCTCAAGCGAGCGTGGGGCAAGTGCCACTTTCGCCGAGTTTCAAATATACAATGCGCACGGTATCGTGAGTTAATGTGTGAACTACTGTAAAATTACAACTTGGAGAATGATCCATAACCGTTAAATATGAACACATACTAGTAATTGTTCCAACACAAGTATGATTCAATGTACTGTAGTCTCAGTTGGAAGATATATATGTGTATTAGTAGACCCATACAGGCGCCAAAGTGTCTCCATGCTCAAAACGAGGGCTGGGCCATGGTCAACTCAATTGGTGGCTATGAGGCAGTGATGAAAACTCTTCGTTTCTGGTGTTAGAGCCGGTCACTGCACATGCCAACTACCGCACTTCAGTATTTCATTGACTCGGGTACTACCAAGTGATATAACTGCACTCATTTAATCGACAGCAAGGGGGTGATCGACTGTCTGTGTCCACTGGAATTTTAACTTGCAACCTCTTGGGAGTGTAAGACGAGATCTTTACCCACAGCAACGCTGAGTTTATGACTTTGTTTCTAATAACGCTAATTTCTTTTCGTACGGGACACTGCCTGAATGTGTGCAATTAGTACAGCCGTGAAACATTGAAAATATCTATTTTAAATGTGGACCGCTTGGGTGAAAGACATACGTGACACTGTATTGCAGTTGTTTACATGTCGCCAAACAATCTTCCCTCTCTTGATCCGTGCATCGCGTGGAGGAGTGCCCCAATGCCACTCAAAGAGTCCACAGGGACCCTCACAGTTAACGGATGTAGATCATTTGTCCTGCTTAATGTTGAACGCATGGTGGTCAATCCACCAGCCCCATTAAATGATAGATTCGAGAAAAATGGAACTGTACCTACACTTACTACATGACATGTGTTATGAGTAGATAAGCATGTTGGTACGTAGGTTTGTTCTGTGATGTTAAACCGGAGTTCGTATATTATAGTGCTCGAGTGTGATTGTGCTGTACATGCTATACTCCCATGGATCAGTCACATCAGTTATAACCTTGTTTTTACACTCTGTCACACCAAAGCGATATATATATAAATGTTTTGACAAGTCCTTAGTTTTTTACATGTACACAATGTAATGCGTTAGACAAATATAATACTATTTACACAGTACGGTATGGTATTTCAGTACTGACGTATAGTATGCTAAATAATTGTATACTTGATTTAATACAAGCACAGTATAATCAACAACTTTCAACAATAAAATATTAATCAGGCATTGTGGTTGTCATTAAAGGATCCTATACATTAATGTTTCACCAACTGCTCTAACACGTACATCACGGTATTTAAAGTGTACATAGTAGATACATAACACTGTGCACATTCAAGCAGGACACCGTGCAGTGTGCATACACACAACACAGCCACAGAACTGCAGCATATGTGCACAAAGTTCATTTACAACACACGCGCCAATGCCAATACACGCGGTGTAAAGTGTATACGTGTCGTCCATACAACTGCGATGAAAACAAAACCATATACTACCATATAACAGACTGGTGAAATACTGGATCATGTGTCGTCAACTGAAATTAAACGTATTCATTAGTACAATGTATTCGCAATATTCTTGGGTCTTTCGATAAAGTCACGTAGATAGGTTCAAAGAAAATGACAAAAAATAACAAAAACACACTTTCCAAAGTTATGTACATACCAATACACATACCGGTACACGTATAACACAACTATGTGTACATGCCGACACTCATACAGAACCCTACACGACAACAAACGTAATACACCCACAAACATTTCCCAATCCTTTGCGCATACCAATACACATATGTAGAACTATCCCCTGCGCATACTAGTGCACACACAAGTCTACACTTATACACAACACACTACTGTGCACACATAAACACGCATTGTATAATAATACAAGACATGCCAATGTCTAAGCACCAATACACAGTTTTGTTGGGTGTGTATTGGTATTCACACATACCAATGTGTAAACACCAATACGCATAAATAACAGTACTGTGTAACACAATTACACACACGTGACACAATTTCACGTGCAATCAAGCAAGGTGAATGCCCGTGATGTGTTCCGAATTTCTCGAACGCGCACATTCTCACCGTGTCCACAGTTGTACATCCCCAGCGGCACATCTGACAGAGCCAGGAAGCTGCAGGAAGGGCCCTGAATGTGGACCCCGAGCCAAAGTTGTGAGTTGGACAATTCAGAGTTGAATTGTCCTGACACGCTTGCACTGGGGTCTGTCCGATGAGAGGTTTGTCCCAAAGGCTTCAGTGTCTCGCAGCCCCTGTGTCACGGGGATGTGTCTTGCAGTCACCTCAATGCCACTTATTCATTTCCACGATGTTTATGGTTCACCATGGGAACGACTAAGCTGGCCCACAGTTGGTTTAACAAACAAAAAAAACCCAACCACTTTAATTGAATTTAAAAGCCATCAAATAGTACACAGCATATGTTCGTACACGGTAGGCGTATTTTGAGATGTTCTTGATGTAATTTGTTACTGTAGTAGTGCGTCTTTGTTTAGCTTATACAAGTCAATGTTACAGGGCATAGAACGCAACAATGTGCGTATGACAGATTGTGATTTATAAAACTCTTAGGCACACTCGAGAAATTGTAAGTCCCGATCAGGGATCGACTCGGCCTATCACCCATCCCTCCGGGGTCGATAAACTTACTACCACATTGTGGGCCGTCAACAGTTGGTCGATTTATCTATAAAACTGACCCCGCCGTGGGAATGTGTAAACGACATCACTGGCTTCAGGTTGTTAACAGGAATACTTTCTGCACAACTATTCGTTTGAGTTGAGCACCCGGCAGTACGCATGCCTCTGCCAGTCTGTTGATCGGTAGGTTGCATGTGGTTTGCGGCAGTTTCGTGTTCTGCCATCTGTCTTCCAAGACGTCTGGCCCGCATGGAAGAGTAGGCCAAATACCCCTTTAGAGGGAGCTCCCTAGAGTCTCGAGGATATTAGGCCTCCCTCTAGAGGAAACCCTTCCGCCAGCAGTGACGTAAGCAAGCCATTGCAGGGCTGCGACTTTACCTTCATATCCGCAATTAGGACCTTTTAAGAAACGCACGTGCATGCATACACACGTACCACCCGCGGAGTTCATTCATTCCTTCCTTACTCGGTCAACACGTGGTGATGGTCGTGAATGGGAGGGCTCTTTAAATGAGGCCGCTGAAAGCATTTGTTTGCATTGCGTAAGGTACTTGCTTAGACAATGAAAACGGAATGGTTCAACCAACACCGATATCCAGCAATTTGTTTAGGGAAATTAAATGTAAATGTCAATGAAAGTGTCGAGACGTAATTTTGACCGCAACTAAAATAGTTTATGTTGGATTATAGCACGTATAGTTTAACATACATGTCAACAGAAGTCTCATTGTCTCATTGTTTGAGTTTCATTCACATTAGACCACGTGGTGAGGATTTCGCAAAGAAACATGGGAGAGGCGCATGCTTTGAACTACACAAAGACGCGAGAACAATCACACTGTGGATTAAAGAACACACACGCGCAAGTTAGAAACACCACTGTCGACTGTGAAATAAGCGGACTTTGGCAGGGCACCCTCGCTGAAAGTGCCGATAGCCGGTGGCCAAGTTGGTCGATGAGATCATCTCGTGTGCAAGGAGATGGACGGACTGCTGCATTGGAAGACCCTTGAACGATGGCGATGACTTGGGGAGGCATCGGTCCAACAGTGGATACACAATGGTTAATGATACATTGTTTTGTTTATATAAAATTGTTAATGAACTGAAGTTTGATCAATCTTTTTCGATGCTGCCACATCTCCCAATGCCAAACGAATCCCGTTTTTTTTTTCTTCTGTCAATGTTAGGTGTGATTTCGGGAGCTTCTCATCCACATGATCTAGTTCACTTCTGAGCAATCTAGTTCTCTCTGAGATCGGGGCCAGGCCTGCCCTGAACGGGATTCGTGGTGTACGAGACACACAGTTGAAATGACGGGAGTTGCATTGTCTGAAGTGCTGATACTACCGCAGTGCCTATAGGTGGCCAATGAGCATGCATTGAGCACCAGCGAATGTCGAGATTTGAAAGGAATGCACTTCGAGGTGCACTGACCCCAACACACTTGTGCTGTACACTTCAATAAACCACAGAGCCATGACTGTAATGGTTGTTCAATGCGAAGCGTGGCCTTACACTGCACGATATGCGCTCTCCATGCCGCTGATTCGTCGTCGAAACACATGTGGTTCAATACTCGACACTTGTTTGGCCGCCTGTATACCGGCCCATGCTATAACCATGTCATGAAATTCAAGTGTTTTCTTAAACTGTACTTCCTCTTGATATTTATGTTCATTCAACAGGATCAGACGGCAGGTTCCACCTATACAGTTTTATTAATGACAGTTATTGCGTGAAGTTTTCTTAGTGTTTTTTTTTTACTAAAATTGTAAGAAAACTTCACATCCATCATTGATGCTATCTTATTCACTTTTATATATCTTGAAGTGCATGTCTACTTCCTTTTATATCAGGCTGCTGTATTTCAACATATAACCGTTTTTGTCTGGTAAAAACGTACACTGGAAAGTAACCTCCAACCTTAGTTTGATTTCTCGTTCCACTTAAAAGTCTCAACGATGAGGAATCCCTGTACAAGTATAAAGGTTTTCAAGGTTTATGAACCCCTGAATCAGTGGTCATGCATTGACCAAGACTGGGGTGTGGAACATTTTTTTATTACACGCTTTTATTTAACTCACTCTGTTGTATCCTCAAATCTTCTAACTCAATTTTAACCCACTTCTCAATGTGGTATCGACTGCAAACTTCGTATATTTATGTCTTACTGATGACAATACTATATTCTATCATTAAAAAACTAATTAAACCATCTTTTTTATATGTTATGTTTTGCCTTGGGTCTAATTGTCCACGCTCAACTGACGTTGGCTGTAATTGGCCAAGGTCCCTTACGTTGTGGCAAGCTTCGGGGCCACTTCCTGGAGTCGTGGAGTTCTGTCATTACTCGTACGGTACATTTCATTAAAGCGTGTTTTTAAAAAGTATTTTAAAATATTACTTATTTACACTTGGGTTCAGTCACAAATGTCTAGCACACTCCATCACCATTACATCTTGTGTACGTTTATTGACCAATGCATTACACCTTCATAACTGATGCTTCTTACACTTTACTTAGAATCCTTTCCCCTCTGGGGACTGAAAACTGATTATAAATAAACACAAACAAGTTTTATTTAAAAATGTTAGCACACTATTTACACAATGTAATTCGCTTCTAATGTAGCTGCATTCTACGTGTATAATTAACATCACTAAATGTTTGCAAGATAAATATCGCATCTTCAATATGCTTAAAACAAAAGTATAATATAAATTGCATGATATCATCACATGTTATCTGAAACATCTGAAAGTTCACCCCCCCATGGTGACAGCACCAGGCCTGCAATCGGGCAAATCTGCCAGTCGGGAGCGCCGATTGCTATTATCCAAATCGAGTACAGGTGAACCCACTCTCCATGTTAGATTTACGAAAATTCGTAATTCAGTTTGACATAAATTAACTTTTAATTCGGTTTACGTCTCACTTGTTACGTTATTACCGTTCTTCTTCCAGTTACATTTTGGTGGGGAATTTTATTTTTAAATACCAATAATAAATGCACGTTATGTCGCTTCTCCATGCGTGCACGTTGTACAGTTCCAGGGCGTTTGCCTGGCCACCGCGTTTCGTAGCGTCACCACTTGGTTAGAAGCCAGTTCAAACTCCCGTACGTTCCACCACAATCAGCCCAATTTTTTTTATATTTGAAATAGAAAATACTTTTTTGTTAATACTACGTGGACACTTTCCATATCGAAATAAATATGTACATGTGCAACTTTAGCTTATAGAGCACTGTTTCGTAGCTCTTTGTGGGCTTTGAGACCAAGAAACAATGACCTTAACTTACCATAAACATAACTCCATGTTTTCGGATACATTAAATAACTTTCCATATGCTAACACAAAGCAACACTTCAATTGTGCCTATGCATAAAATAAGTTTTAGATATGCAGGTACGTCACTAGTCATATCACTAATATAATACGTCATTCGGCATATTCGATATAAATAAGGTTCTTAGCTGTGAACCATACACTAAATTGCGCATGTATTCTTTTCTAATAATGTGTTATATGATTGGTTCATGGAAAATCCAGCTACTATGGATTCTACGTGGATACTGGCAAAAATAATTATTTAATCAAGTTGTGACCCTGAATGGTGCCAATTAATGTAATCGTAGAGTAAATTGTTCCATGAAGAGTATTAACATATAATGCATGAACATAATTACAGTAATATAGTAATGTCAAGTTAATATTCAGTCAGGTGGCAGTGCTCGATTTAAATCAAAAGACCGATGAAAAATCCTGATTGTGGGTCAAATCAGTTTATCATCTTTCTCGGGTTTATAAATAATCCAGTATCACTGTACAGAAAGTCAACAGTGGCTATTTTTAAAGATACAGACCCTCGCCATAGGAATGTGGAATTCTCACAACCACTGGGCTCAGGGTTATTAGAGTAATTAGTAAAACTAAGAAACTTTGGGCCTTATTTTGCAATGGTTGCAAACATAGCTGCCTTTACAGTGTCAAGAAGTTAATGATAATACAAAAGCAAGAAACACCATAAATGCATATGAATTGGTAAAGTCTCCATTAAATGTACGGAGTGCTCAAAAGATAAATTGAGAAAATAAGGGTAGAGGAATACATCCTCGTTTATCAACACATAAGACAGATGAATGCATTTATAGTGCTGATTGCACTTCTTGATATGAGGGCCTATCCCTTCTAAGTAAGTCAACAATGTAAAATACAACTTTCAAGCTAATCTTTCCTACCAGAGACCTGCTTTGTTAGGGATTTTACATGCAATTTCACGTGAAACTATTAGCCAATAACATGAACCAATAATTGTCAGTTTGGTATTTCGAGTACTTTATGAAGCAGGTATTTGTGGCAAACCAAATTCATCCACCAGCACTCCATCCTGCAGAAACACACATCACAATGTTGTCAGTGGTATTCGTTTTACATGTCGGCTGAAAGCAATTAACTTTCCAACAATCGATCCTTGAATTGAAATCTCAATTCCACGTAACATTATAGTAAACACATACATAGTAATAATTATACAATTTGTTCACCAGAGCCTTTGTAAAAAATAACTATGATGGTAACTAAAATGTCTTCTGATCGAAGTGATATAATTGTAGAATAATACAGACTAAACTATGCGAGTGTACGATTGAAAACACAAGAAAAAAATCTCGAAAGGAGGCATAAAAACTGCTTCAAACCCAATTTCCTGGGACGTAAAAAAGGATGCCCTTGGCACACTCCCAAAGTAATAATTCAGTAAACAAGTAGCCTTGAGAATTTTCCTTTCCCGAGCACCTTACGAACACACGTGTGATCTATTACTTTGAGAGTAGGGTTGAGCAGGCCGCACACATTTTATCAAGCCCTATAAGATTTCCACATCCCCAGGGCTGCAATGTGCCCAGGAGATGTCAGTCCAGCAATTGGGTTTGAGAGCTATCTGTGCAACATTTTGAGTGTTTTTTCCAAGCTACTGCAGTTTCCTCTCACATTCAAACTACTTACAATGCAATTGAGACACCCAGGAAATATAAAGGACACTTCTTTTGTATACCTTCGTGGTGGTCTTGTCATTGGGGACTGAGTCTGGAGCAGCCGGGGCAGTAGATGCTTCATCCAGGTAAGATGCATCTTCATCCGCCAAGAGCTCATCCCCCAGGGCCTCCAGCTCTGTCAACACATTGCATCAACGACAGATGTTTCAAAGCTATTATGGAGGTGATTGGGTGGCTCAAGGGAGCTAGTACATGTATTCAAACAGGGGAAGGTCAAGTCCGTTTATGGACATCACAGATGACGTAATGTGACATTCACTCCAAATTGAATGTGTGCTGTACACTCCTTGAGTGTGACGACATGCAAATACACATCAGGGAGATGCAATAGCTTGTTTGTGCCAGCTGACATCAACGTTTATGGTCCACGTGAATCGCTTTGGACCAGAAAGGTCCCACTAACTGTAGCTATGTTTACACCACCTGCTTGTGTCCAGACAGACCAAACCAGGTTTCTAAACACAGAGAGCCAGCCGGAGATGGAAACTCAAAATCCTCACAGCAAGAACCATTAATTCCATAGCACACCCACTGTTAGCATCTAAAGAAGTGCTCATCATATTGGCCCCCAATGTGTGTTGGTCTAAACCAGGGGTCGGCAACCTACGGCTCCGGAGCCGCATGCGGCTTTTTACGGGCTGCTTCTTGACGATATGTACGTGAGTACAGTATGTACTCAGATGCATTGCGGCTCTTGAAATACTGAATTTTGTACCGAATTGGAAAGAAATGGCTCTTCTTGTTATTTTGGTTGCCGACCGCTGGTCTAAACTGACTCATGATCAGGATTTAAAGTTGCAACCCTTCTGAGTTAAATCCTCCTAACTCAGGTTTCCAATATTCTGAAATTGCACAGGATTGTGTATTTCTGTTGCATGATTGGTACATAATGGCTGACTTCTGCAATGTCCTTGAAGCACATCAATATGCTAAGAAGCAGTATTTGGATTGAAATACACAACTGGTATCTTTTCTTTATCACTTGAGGTCAATATAACTGACACCCATACAGCTGGCCAAACCATCACCTAACAATTCATACCTGCTTCAAGTTCATCATCGTCCACCTCTGGCATTCCATAGCTCCTGCCCAGGGCCTCCTGAATTTCATCAGCTTCACCCATCATGTCTTCCATTTGATCTTGTAAATCCTATAAAGACAAGTCAAAGTGTCTCCCTGTTCAAAGAAGCAACGAGCCAACACATATCTCTACTGATTGACATGGGATAGTAGCGGACATTCCACATTTCATGGGGGAGGCCAGTCTCTCCATACAACCATTTACCTCCAACAAAATGAAACTCATCTATCCATCCCAGTGGGGTGCCACCAGAGGGAATCCCAGACGATTCTGCCTCTAGCTGGATTGTAAGCAAATGCACAGGCTTTAAAGAGACAAATGACTTCCCTTTACAAATTGGTATAAACCAAAACTTGATGCGTATCTTATGAATACATATGGCACTTAACATTCGTTTCTTCTTAACATCTGTACATGCATTGCGGATTGTGCAATACAATGACCCATGGATTGGTACCCTACACAGTTATATAATGTAAATGCTTACCTCAATTTCTTCTAGATCAACATGTTTGTATGCTTTCTTCATTTCCTTTGCACCGATCTTCATTGCATCGACCTGCACACAATGATCGGTAAAGGAGAGTAGCATTTGCATGCTGTCAACAAATGAGACATTAGCAATGTGCAGTTCAGGTTTAAAAATATACAATCATGTGGCTCTGATCTCATTCCAAATAAACCCATCTGATCCACTATTCCAATAAATTCCTCAGAATTGTTCAATTGTGCAGATCCAGCATGGATCAGCTCAATTGATCCATAGTTTAGGGTTGGGTCCATTCATTGAAATAGTTAATCGTATATGCACGTAATCGAGTGTGTGAGAATCAATGACAGTGTTTATGATGTGGAAATTAAGTGCAAGTGTTAAAGTAAGGATAATGCAAAGATTAAAAAAAGATGGCACCAATGAAACAGTAAAAAATTTAACACAAAAAAGAAGTATTCCTTCATACTTATTGTCACGGTTTGTGACAAGCAATTGAATCATGAGTTGGGAGTGTTGCAAGCGATTCAATATTTAGTTTGTACTTGTCTACAACTCAATTGTAATTTTGCTATGCAATCATGGTTTCAAATGCTAGCTTCATTAAATACCATTATATGCATGATACATAGCCTCCGGATGTATTATGTAAGGTTTAAACAGTTTTCCTGCACTTAAAATCAACTTGTCAATAAAAATGTATCATACCGTGGTTTTTGTGTCTTTGAGTGTCTGGATAGTGTAGTTTGCTTGCTCCATGTTGAAGGATTGCTGGTTCAGGTTGTCCCTCTGCTGTTCGTACCTGAGATTGTATGAACCACAGAGTAACAATGGTGAGAGGTGTTCTAAAAATGTGTTGTTGTTTATGTTGGCACAGGTAAACACCCACTGGGCAATAAATGAAAATGTTTAAAAGTCTGGTTACAGCAACAACAATAAGTAACATGGAATCACTGGATTAAACTAAGCTCAAACTCAATCAAAACAATTTACTATGCTAAAGTCCGCCCAAATATAGCTGGTCAGGTGGGTTACATTTCCAGTTGGGGGTTGAGTCAGCCTCTCATCCCTTGCATGAGCACCGATATATAGAAGTCAGCAGTGGTAATACGATGCAGAGACTGACTCCAGCTTTTCAAATGTGGAATGCGTACAACTGTCCCGCAGCCACCAGCAGAGGAAAGCATCTCTCCAATTCTAATTTGAGCAACAACATACTTTCACTTGAGAAAAAAGGGACACAATCTAATATTTGCATTTTGCTAATCGTGATGCTGTTTATGGAAATCAATGTGTAATATAAATAAGCTGCAAAACAATTACATCTTTCTTCTTGGTTCTTTCGGTAAAGTCATGTAGAAGGAAAATAATAAAAATAAAACATAATAAAATACAATTGCATTTTTTGTATTTTATTATGTTTAATTTTTATTATTTTAATACAATTGTATTTGATTGTTTTATTATTATTTTATTATTTCCTTTTTACATGACTTTACCGAAAGAACCAAGAAGATGAATCCCTGCAGTCACGAAAGCTATAAATCGAAATTACATCTTTGGTGAATCAATTTATTATGGTCCAGTCTCAATGAGAATCCATTTTACGAATAAAGATGCCACTTACGTTCGTTTTTGCTTGAGGACTCTCAAAGCCTTTTGCTTCACAAGGTTCTGAATGGAAACACGAAGTTACTTTATACCTGTAAACAATCACTGCTCATACAGTTGCTTGTCATAATTGAACGTTGAAACGGCAGCCACGTCATCGACAATCTCTGAGCATGCAACTGGTGCTGAACCAAAGTGTGTGTGTGTGTGCGCACCTTGGCAGGTCCATCCCTCATTTTGTTCATCTGGTCCTTGTATTTCTTCAGCTCCACTTCCAGCCTGGTGATTTTCTTGTCGATAGATTCCCCTCGACTCTCCACCTGCCAGTCCAGAATTGTTCATGGTATTATCGGCGTTATCTTAATTATTGGTTGTCTTGTGAGTTATGTTTATTATTATGATTCTTTTTGGGTGGTGACATGGCCGAGCGGTGTGGCGTGTTGGCCGCTTGTTGCTAAGGTTCGTATTTCCAGCCCAGTGACTGCCCTGGTTACTACCGCGGACATATTAACCAAAAACATACACACCATCTGCTTTCCCAGGGGACGTCAAAGTTCCCGTGACTTTATTCGAAAAAAAGTGGGGGAAGTGATGGTCCCAATCTTCCACTTTTTAATGACTCGAAAAATTACCGAGTTGGATTAAGCCGTTTCACAACATCGTCCGCTACTGTGAAACGGCTATAATCGTCTGTGAACCACGTCAAATTTGTGATGGCTTCGCGTAATAAAGAAATATGAATATCTCTGTGATAAATGTAAGGTTAACGACAGTACTTAAAGGCTGAGTTTTGTAGTCATTGGGAGTGCCCACATTCATCGGTCACCCTGCGAATGTTCGCGAAGCGGCCAGCCGGACCTCCAGCCGGTCCTCCACATCGGCCAGGTTACTGCAGCGGAGGCCGCCAGAGGCCGAAACTGAGGTCGATGCACAGACTGCAACCTGGGCCTGCCAATCTAATCTCACCTGCCACTGATACGCGGCGCGGGAAGAGGTGAGGGGTGGTCTGTCCCCAAATGGGGAAGACCACATGCCAGTCCACTGAGAACAAGGACCTACTGCAAGGGGATAGCCTTATTCATCGCTTGAAGAGAGAGATGAAGAAAAGAGGTTGAGCTGGAGAACACCAACTTCTGCATGGCCACTGCAGAGACAGAGGGGGTAGATTCCTGCTTTCTCTTGTACACGATACAGTAGGTGGAGGTAGGGCGGACACTCAGAAGCATCTCTCTAAACGGTCCAGTGGTCACCCAGACAGTGACCTGTCAGCAATGACTGTGAGCGATGCCTACAAAATGTTGGTTATGATTGCTATTGTTACAGTACTGTATTCTCGGACTAATTGAGACCACTGAGTCAAAGGAAGGCGTGGATTAGCATCAAGTACTGTCCGGAATTATTCTTATTGCTGTCAACATTACCATTCCATAGCTTTTGGTATTGGCAATACCACCAATGGTCTTATTATATAATCATTATGGCATACATTGTATTATTTTATTTATCTTGATTTGAAGCTTTCGTGACTGCAGGAATCCATACTCATTGGTTTTGTCGGTAAAGTCACGTAGGTAGAAATAATTAAATATTTACCTTAATGCCTAATTATTTATATAAGTATTTTATTTCTACCTACGTGACTTTACCGAAAGAACCAAAGAGTATTTTATTAATATTGAGCCATATACAAATTTTAATAAAAATTATATCGACGTGTAAATGAGCTTGATCAGCATTAATAACTCGGGGTTTGTCTTGCCCATTGTTCATGTATTGCTTTGTCATTGGGCTTACATAGTATTAATCCATATTTTTTGGAAATTAATAACTTAATTAACATTGAGAATTTTTCATCATAGCGGCTTGCAATGCACCTTGTTATCACTACCTGTTAACAACACATTCCTGCGGAGGGAGCTGGTAGGAACGTTGGGTTGCTCGGTCAATGGCCAGGGTCAACGGCGGCGTGGTGTATTCCGCAAATATGCCCGACTGTGAGGGCGGGCACAAGCCGGCGTGAGTAGGTTAAACGTTGAGTTTTATAAGGGCACCACGGGGTGACCAGCCCCTATCCACCCAGCCCCAACCCACCCCTCCCACCCCCTCCCCACCCAGCCCTCCCCAACCAGCCCCTCCCTGCACGACGGACGGACACAACAATCCCCTGTGGGCTGGTGAAACCAGGAGGTTCCTACCAGTATCACTTGTTTTATGTGAAGCTCTAGGTGAGAATTGGGCGTATCCATTTAACGAGCAGCAGCAGCATGCCTGCGGTAAGCTCGACAAGAAGACACATTGGGCCGTAGGGGTTAACACACAGAGCTCATCCTGCAATTGTAACAAAATCTCATAGACCAACAACTGGCACCAGAGCCACCTTCAGCTTTATAGCCCGAGACTAACCCAGTGCATCCTGAATTGACATTTTTAATTGAGAAACATGAAAGTGGGTTCACATCAAGGAGTTAGCCAGAGTTCGCGTAGCCCTCGACGCTAGCGCAACCCAGCCTGGAATACAACATCGTAACACGGGCAACACTGACTGAATAAGGGGCCGAATTATGAAGATCCAAATGTATCGATTTAAAGCTTTCGTGACTGCAGGGATTCATCTTCTTGGTTCTTTCGGTAAAGTCACGTAGAAGGGAAGTAATAAAATAATAAAAATAAAACATAAAACAATTCTCACGACGTTTCGGCTACAACGCAAGCAGCCGTCTTCACCTGAAAGAACCAAGAAGATGATCCAAATGTAATTGCATTCATCACTTCCCACTGGCAGAGGCCTTTCCTGTCACGCGCAATCTCCCTTGCAGCTTCCACTCACATTGGCAATGCAGTCCGTGAGGCTGGCTGGCGGCACCTTCGCCTTGCCCCGCCCGAAGATCCTGTTCATGTCTGCTGAGAGGCTTGCCCGTCTAATTGTTGTTGTAGATGAGTCTTGTTTGTTTATTATTGTTGTTGTTGTTATTGTTGATGTGTGTGGCTCGGCTTGGGGCTTGCCTGCCTGTCAGTGGTGACGACGCCTCCTACGGAAGCCGGAAAGGGGCAACGCGCTCAGCTGATCCAAACGCGTTTTAAAAATAAACCACGTGTGCGGTGTGTTTATTGTGTATGCGATAGCTACAATTCTCCATGGCAATGCACAAATCGCTCTACCGGAGACCCGTGCTAGAGCGAGTCGATTTGATGAGCGAGACAAGGGGGGCGTTCTTCTGAGCGACGATTGAACTCTGGGGACGTCTACGCACCCAGTGCACTGACTGCCGTACAGCACACCGGTGTGTCGGAGAGTAAACCAGCAGCATTTACAACGCACCGCTTATGTTGGAGTCGTAACTAATCTGCACGTTTTGTGTTACGTGACAAACCTTATGTTTAACGACGCAACATTATCACAATAACAATAATTTTTACAATAATTTTATTTCTATTCTTTTTTACCTACGTGACTTTACCGAAAAACCTAAGAGTATGAATCCTTGCAGTCACGAAAGCTTCAAATCTAGAATTATCACAATGTTTATTGCAATATTTACACACGTCACAGCAACCATTCGGAGCGGTTGAATCCTAAGAAACCCCCGCGGCACCCCTCCCCTTACCCCCTTGAACCACGTGACCATAACCGTTAAAAACAACCCGCAGCCATCCAATCAGCTTGCGAGTTGGGGCGCCGTCGCGGACCAATGGGAGGCGGCGCTGCCGCGGGTCACGTGGTGAAGCCGGTTAGATTTGAACGGCGGCAGACACGGCGCTGCCGCTGCTGCGGCCCGTTCACTCGGTCACTAGATCGATCACTAGATCGATAACTAGATCGATAACTAGCTCGGTCGATAGCACGCGAGTTTGCTTGCTTGCTTGCTCGGTCGCTCCGTCCGTCCGTCCGTCCGTGATCCGCCATGGACGAGTTTCTGCACAAGAATCTTCAAGGCAACGAGAGGCGCTTCAGGCGGAGGCTTGAGCTCATATTCGAGAAGGTGACGACGACGACGCAGCGTCGTGTGCGCTGCAGGTGCCGGTGGTGCAGTGGCCTTGTGATGTCTCTCATGGCTTGCCGATGGAGACGATTGCACGGCAAACAACTGCAGAGTTTTGTTTAAAGTTTGCATGTGTGCATCATCGTCATCGTCGTCATCGGGGTGTCCGCATCTGCTGTTGACACGGTTTGTGCAGTGGATGCGATTTCGTGTGGGCGGCCGTGGACTTCGTGGAAGATTAAAACCCAGGGGGATCTTCTGCGTTGGGTCTTTCACTAAGTGTTTGTGAGTTCTTTTGAACTCCGCTCCGCTCTCGAGGCGTAATCGGGGGTTGAACTCGCATCGTTGAAGGTTTTAAGCGCATGGGGCCAAAAAGGGGTTTTGCGTGACTTCAAGCGATGCCGGAGGGGCCTTGTTGTGGGTCGTGGTGAGTGGATGGCTCCGTGGTGATCGCAATGCAACTGTGAGCCCGGCCACCCAGAGGTCATCTTCCTGCTCGCCCGCCCAGCCCTTTTCACCAAGCCGCACTAAATCGGCGTGGTGAAGTATGGTCAGATACCCCCCCCCCCATCACCAGCACGACGTGGTGAAGTATGGTCAGATACCCCCCTCCCCATCATCACCGGCATGGCGTGGTGAAGTATGGTCAGATACCCCCCCCCCCCATCATCACCGGCATGGCGTGGTGAAGTATGGTCAGATACCCCCCCCCATCATCACCAGCACGACGTGGTGAAGTATGGTCAGATACCCCCCTCCCCATCATCACCGGCACGGCGTGAAGTATGGTCAGATACCCCCCCCCCCATCATCACCGGCATGGCGTGGTGAAGTATGGTCAGATACCCCCCCCCCATCATCACCAGCACGACGTGGTGAAGTATGGTCAGATACCCCCCCCCCCATCACCGGCATGGCGTGGTGAAGTATGGTCAGATACCCCCCCCCCCCCATCATCACCAGCACGACGTGGTGAAGTATGGTCAGATACCCCCCCATCATCACCGGCACGACGTGGTGAAGTATGGTCAGATACCCCCCCCATCATCACCGGCATGGCGTGGTGAAGTATGGTCAGATACCCCCCCCCATCATCACCAGCACGACGTGGTGAAGTATGGTCAGATACCCCCCCCCCCCATCATCACCGGCACGACCTGGTGAAGTATGGTCAGATACCCCCCCATCATCACCGGCATGGCGTGGTGAAGTATGGTCAGATACCCCCCCCCCCCATCATCACCGGCATGGCGTGGTGAAGTATGGTCAGATACCCCCCCCCCCCATCATCACCAGCACGACGTGGTGAAGTATGGTCAGATACCCCCCTCCCCATCATCACCGGCATGGCGTGGTGAAGTATGGTCAGATACCCCCCCCCCCCCATCATCACCAGCACGACGTGGTGAAGTATGGTCAGATACCCCCCCCCCCCATCATCACCGGCACGACCTGGTGAAGTATGGTCAGATACCCCCCCATCATCACCAGCACGGCGTGGTAAAGTATGGTCAGATACCCCCCCCATCATCACCAGCACGACCTGGTGAAGTATGGTCAGATACCCCCCCAAATCATCACCGGCACGACGTGGTGAAGTATGGTCAGATACCCCCCCCATCACCAGCACGACCTGGTGAAGTATGGTCAGATACCCCCCCCCCCCCCATCATCACCGGCACGACGTGGTGAAGTATGGTCAGATACACCCCCCCCCCATCATCACTGGCACGACGTGGTGAAGTATGGTCAGATACCCCCCCAAATCATCACCGGCGTGGAGAGGGTAGAGGCCGCCATCCGGCAGTTGAATGACAAATGGATGGGGGGGGACAACTTCCAGTGATGGGTCTGAGTTTGGGTTATAATTGGTTTCTGTTCAATTGTTAAGATCAATGCCATCGAAATTGTTCTATAGCAGCTGTGGTAGGGTGGTTTAGTACAGTATTAAATGTCAAGCTGTTGCAGCAATACGTGTGGTTGGCCTTTTACAGCTTACGGAGCACAATGATGCACGATTTGCACTGCGCGGGGAGGCCCTCATCCAGCAGTGGATTTTGAGGGGCTGTAAATGTACACCGATGCGCATTGAACAGGGTTAAGGGGCATTGACCACAGAGTTGGCTTCGTATTTGGTAACCATTATTACTCACGATTCATCAAATAATCACGTTGAAATATTCCTGATCCAATATAAAACCCCCAAAAATAATGCAATGCTTTTTTGTTGTTGTCTTTGCAGTATTCACATCCATTTGAAGATGCTCCCATCGTTGACCTCGACAGGATGACCTACGTTACCAAGTTCGGTATGGCCTCGGTGTCTTTGTGGACACGTCTTTAAATGTCACGCGGTCTTTTTACCATGTTGTACCGTATCTTGAAGTGGTAATATTTGTTTTAGCTTGCTGACACCCGTGAAATATCTTATCGGATTCCTCCAGTCTGCATGCACGTGTAGTGGGTTCAACCGAGTCGCACTCTTAGACTTGGAGGTAGTGCATTTATTTAGTTCCAACACAACGGGGTGACTTCCCCTTTAACAAGACAACAACCTAGGGTGGTGACCACCTGGCTAACTACACTGGCTACTGAGTAACTATTAACTCCAGGTTCAACAACACACGGCCCGGGTCCACGTGCTGGAAGACTCGTAGAACGGAGATCGTAGATGAAGGGTTTCTTTCCCGGGACGGACAACCCCGATCCGTCTCCGGACTCGGCTTATATTCTCTGTGGCGTGGCCGGCTCCGCCCTTGGCCATGCCCCCCTTCCAGAACCATCGGGAAGAACCTGGGTTCCAATCACGTGACCCTCCTAGCCCCCTTTTGGGGCCTCCCTGTCATTCAACCCAGTCACGTGTCCTCCCGGGTCAACCAGAGTGCCATGGCCTTACCCGACCTCTCTCTTAGGTTGGCACACACACACGCACCGTGCCCTCTAGTGCCGGCACTGCACTTACATCATGGTGACATCCAGCGATGTTGCTACACACGGACTATATTAAGGCCATCATTTGGTACAGTAGTACCGTACATTTTTAAAGTTTGTTAATATCTAACGCGTAAATAATTAAAGTGCTCTAATGTCAATATTTACCGTTTTAGTTTGAATGGCATGTCACATGAAGTACAGTATTTAAAGTAATACAATATATTGTATGTATGTGATGCAGGTGAAAAAAAATGGAATCCAGATGCCGACTTGGAATATATGATGCATATGGAAGAGCAGGTGAGTGCACGGAAGTTAGATGTTAAGCAAAAGACCATGAAGAGTTGGTGGTTGCATTGCTGAGTTAATGCAACATATTCCTGAATAAAACACAAAAAATAAGTACTGTAGTTCGTTATTCTTTGGGTATTTCGGTAAAGTCACGTGACTTTACCAAAAGACCCAAAGAATATGAATTCCTGCAGTCTCGAAAGCTTTAAGTCAATATTTACTGTAATTAGTTGTTTAAACTAACGATTATTGCATTTAAATGATGACAAAGATGTAAATTTTGTTTCCCAAAATATGAAAGTTAACTAAAAATATCCAGCAATGTTGCAGGCAATTATGTCTGTTACAGAATCGTGTCGTCAGATGCTCAATCCAGCATGCGTTTGACAGCTTGATGTTTGAGAAGAAAGCTGAACTAATGTCTTTTATCAAGCTAAATTATGCTTTATGACTTACTATTTTCTCATTTAAAATGCCTACTTGGTAGTTTTATTCACAAGCTCCCAGGGCCCAACCATCTATCCTCTCAAAAGATGGATGGGGGGTCTCTCAGGCTCGACCATAGAGACATGAGTTCTGATTAAGTTTTAATAGTGTAGCACTGTGCAACTGTGTTACAAACTGAAGCCACAAAGATGCATCTTTGCAACAGGATTGTGTGTAACGTTAAGAATGCAACAGTTACCTCCATCAAAATTGCATCATTTAACTTCAGCTTAATGTTTGCTTATAGTTGCATTGTAAAATTATTTCTGATGTTTTTAATTGCTCAAGTATTTGCTTAGTTAGATGATAAACATCACCTTATTTTGTCACTTCAGAGTTGTGTTTTTGTTAATCAAATTCTAAACATTGGAAATGCTCATACCAACATTTGTTTTCAGAGTCGTCGTGAAACAAGAAATAAAGTTTTACATAATGAAGCAACATCAATCAACAGTAAGCACTTCGATAAACATGTGCATTCAACATCCAGTTACTCAGTACCATCGCAATGTTAAGTCTCACACCTTCCACAGATGCTGCTGTCCAAACAACCCCAACAAGTGAATGGATCTCCGTACATTACTGTTTTATTGTACTGTACAGGGAATCAAGTCTATCAGATGCAAGTGCAGAATCGAAAATCAATGCAAGGTGAACATAAACGTCACGGAGAGGTGAAGGTAGGTTCCCTGTGTTAATTATTCTTGTCAACAGGGAGGTGTGGCTGGGTTGCACAGAAGGTTGTGAGCTCACTTCTCGGTAGGGGGGTTGACTTACATTACCCACATGGCAGGTTTATACAATAAAACATGTTTTAGTTATAGAAAATAATACCTGAAATATGAATTGTTCAACTTCTAATTGAGACGGTGTGATTGCATACCCTCTGGTTCAGAATGTGAAACAATATCAACATGCAAAGGAGGAAGAGGAGACCCTGTGCCATTCTGAGAACCTGGGGACATTGGATGAAAGTAACAGCTTTGATGAAAAGCAGTGCCTCACTGAGAATGGTAAAAACACTTTCGTCTACTCTAAAGCATATATAACTCTTAAACTGTACTTTGACAACTTAGCAAATATGATCAACTTTAATATTTTTCTCACTTCTCAGTCATCTTTGGGGCTATGCTTCCCTGCTTTGGCACCTGCTGGAAGACTCACATTCTCATAGCAGGAGCCAGTCTCCATAGAGTGATATTTGTGGTTTTCATTTAATTGATTGTGGAAATTCCATCGCCAACTTGGGTTCATTGACGAATGAGAACTGCTCAATATGCAATTCTAGCCTTGATACATTTTAGAACATATTTTAATATTTAGCTCTACAAAATGTGAACCACACTTTAAACGTATTCCCTCTTGACAGGCATGTTGGAAGGCAGCCTTCAAGAGCAAGACACGTCAGCCATGTCGGTTGAGATGGTTAATCTTCCCTCTACTCCATCAATGCAACACACAGCCACCAACCACCATGGAGGCCAGTTGCTCAAGTGTGTCATCATGGAGATTTCACCTGAAGGCTCCCATGCCCCCATCAACCGGACTGCCACTGAAACCAGTCCAGCATCCTCGGATGAGGCAGTACCAGCGGACGTGAGCAACTCCACCATTGGGGAGGTGTATCCATACATGCTCGCCAAGCTGTCAAAGCTCATCGCCAAGGACAGCAGTCGGCACACAAAACATCGTGCATCGCACCACATATGGAGAAAGAATGGGCACTTTCAATTGGCGGCAGGCAGGGCAAGGGTGGTTCGGGAGCGGAAGCGATTGGATGCCGCCGCGAGGAGTTATGGCAAGAGCTTGGTAAAGATGTGGAACCCTGCTGAAATTGATGAGAGCGACGACGCAACGGATTGTATAATCGGTGGCGTAGTGGGTCACGTTAAACGATATATTCCAAGTGATCTTTGTGGTCATTCTTGCTTTGAAAAGGAACATTTTACTTTTGGAAGTATGGATAAGGGATGCCATCAGCGTGATAGTGGGGTTACTGCTGCTTCTCGGCCACACATACAGGTATTGGGCAGTGACCAGAACAGCCCAGTGGAGGCAAATACATTGCAGCTCTGCTCATTGACGTTCCCCGAGTCCATGACTGCATCCATCCCAAGGAAGAGCATCCCAAGGGAGTGCACGCATCAAGCATGCAGCCATAGTGAGCGGCTCTGCAGACCAATATCCGAAAGCGCATTGCCCTCCGCATCACAGAGTTCTAGTAAGAAAAGCAGTTCTGTTTCTTTTGACAACCTTTACCAACTGATGCTTTCTGAGAATAATGCTACCACCGTGGCTACTCATTCAACTTTTAAGGGTAATGACTCGGTGGGGAGTCACAAGGAGGTGAGTTCGTTAGTACCAGCCTCGGCTCTGTCGATGCCCAACTTCCCAGAGTCTGCTCAGGGCCACAGGGCCCTCTGGCAATTGGAACAGGAGAGCACACACAGGTTTGCTTCAGATGGGATGTCGTATGCAACCACGTTGCCAAAGAATAGATGGCTTTACCCTGACACCTCTGTCTGTCAGGCGAATGCTTTTCTATCATCGGATGTGGCTACAGAAACCTCCGTGCCAAGGTCTGTTTTTCCACAGGGTAGCAACATGGCCGCAGTGACAAATGGTGCACTCAATGGGGTGAACAGTACTGAGTATGCCATTGCAGACCATAGTGTTTTTGTACAACCTCAAAGGCTGGAGCCCTCAGTTTGTAACTTGGATTGCCGGTGGTGTGGTGATGAGGAAGAAGGCAGAATGCACTCACGCTTACACACAGGGGAGAAGGCCTTGATGCCTCTTAGTGAGAATGTCATAAATAGGTCTTTGGAAGAGGAGCAAGACGTACATTTCCATCCACGTTTGGAAATAGTTGGAAAGCCACAGGACAAGACTTCCAGACAGGTCCCCTTTGTCATCAGGAATCATTTCCTTTACACAAACGGTCCTTCCATGGCAGCCATGCCGGATAAACGAGACTGCGGTGACACCGGTGGCAGCCAAAGTTCTGCTTCGGACCGGAAACGCGAATTGTTGAAGCACTTTCTGAATCCTGGTGAGCAGGCACGCGACCACAGGCGTAGTGCCAGCCCGTCGCTGCTTCGGCATAGGTCTGTGCCCTTGTCATTTCCTTCGCCGCGCTCGGAGCACAGGCACAGTGACTGGGCTCACTCCCTCAGAGCGGAGGCTCTCGCCCACTCCATGAGCTATATCCAGACCAACGCAGGTGATTACAACGCTGCGCGGGAGCACAGTCCGAGAGGCCGCGAACGGGAATTGGCGAGGGCCACGAGGTCTGGGCTGGACATTCTGGCCAACATCGAGTGCTCCCCTGTTAGCAGAAGGCTGTCGATGATGTCTTTGAGGTCACCGGTCCTCGCGTGCAGATCGCCTTTGCCGAGAAGACAGAGTCGGGTAAGATTTGCATTCGCAGACACCTGCGGAAGCACTCCCATCCACAACAGCAAAATATATGCACTGGGTTAGACTGCTCTACATACATTTTGTAATAAAGCAGTGTTACTGAAGAAAGGATATTACTTTTTTTAGAACGGCAGCCACTTATTGCCATCGAGTGGCTTTTTGCTTGGCTAAATGATTTGTTTTATGTCACGTAGGGTGGTAAAAGTGCACTGGATGGATGTTACAATCCTGGCTCAGGTGTACACCAATGCACCACCAGTGTTCCTCACTGATATGCCCCCACTCAGAGGCAAAGGTCATCTGTTTAGCCACATAGCTCATTGATTAATGCTTTGTGGTAATATATTCATACCAGCACAACACGTGGTGTTGATGATGCACTCAAATACACTGTTTGCCCGTTCTTTCCAACAGATTTCAGACTTTCCTTTGGACAGCTTGCAAGAGATAGATAGTGATCAGCAAATGCATCCCTGTAGCCCCATACGACGTTCGTCGTGCCCTGCATCAGGTCAGAGATTAACAGCTGTGTTTTGTGACTGCTGTGCATGTGCTCTTGCCTGTGGATGTGCCTTCGTGATTGTAGGACGGCAACCGTACCCCCTGATAATGTGCCTGTTATAAGATGAATTATTCAAGTTTAATAGCTGAGTGGGGATGTGAATGCTATAAATGCCTGGTAAGATTTGACTACAAAGTCCTAGTGATGTTGATGGCCTCAACTCTCGCCATCGCTTCATCCTGTCAGATCCAGCAGCTATTAGACAATTGGCACCTGGCCTCCAAGGTATGTTTTTAAGAGTTTGATCCCATTATCTGGCTTTAGGTCTTCCTCTTTGTCACTGATCTAGGTGCTACGCTCCAATGCCTGTCTCAGTAATGTGCCCTCTGTCTTGCATGTGTCCCACCAAACAAAACCATTTCTTCCTGATTATATCTACAATACTTTCTTGCCACTTTTATATTGTGAACTTCCAAATTGATTCCTCTACCCTGCCGTCAAATTTTTAACATTCTCTGAATGCGCTTATTAAAAAAATCCAAAACCTTACTTTCAAGTAAGTATTGCCATTATTTGTTATCAATTGTAAGTATTGTATTAAGTGATCAGATTGTATTAAGTGATCAGATTGTCACTTCCCATGTGTTTTCCCTCGTCGCTTAACTGGATTTCCTATAATCAAACATTACAAATGGTCAATCCAGTACTTGCTGTAAGAATGACGATTGAACCCGATGAATATGATGATCCCTTGCAATGGTGATTGTGTCGAATTCGGACACACACAAGAGACTTGATAGCCAACTGTTTATGCCTGTTCTAATGACGGAGTTGATTCTTGTCTCGGCAGGTCTGAGGAGTCCAGCCTCCATTAAGCACAGGGAGAATATCCACAGGTATGGAACTGCACACTGGAGCTCTTGTGTTTGGCCAGACCATTGCCGACGGTACAATTTTCCTATTCAAATCGTCTTCTTAGGTGGGCCAGTTTTTTTATGGATATCTGGTTAGCCTGTGATCAAAGTGTGCTCGCTACTTGAGCCACACATTGATTACAGTTGAAAGTAAATGTCCTACAATTGGCCGTTAAATTCTACAATTGGTTGAAAAGACCCTGTGATGTTATTGGACCCCCTTTTTGGCAAAATGACAAGTTAAAAATCTGAGAATTGGTTGCAACAAAATTTAGCAAATTCAGAAAGTGGCATGAATCTGCTACCAGTAGAACTGTACTTACTTATCTACCAGTTATGTGTTACTTATTTATTGGATATTTACTTTTGTTACGTATTTACCGTTTTAAGTTCACTCGTTTCCGGTTAGTTTGTTTTCTTTGTGCACGTTATGATTGTAATGTTAACAATTGATAGTGGAAAGTGTTACAAATGTAAACTTCGTATTAATATGATGTAATTAAGCTGCGGTAACGACGTTAAATATATGAAGGCATGCGGGGTTATGGAGGTGCGGGCTATCTGAAATTTGTTTTACACAAAACGCTATTTTTGCGGGGTATATGCGTCTGCGGGTTATATGTGGGGAAATACGGTAATTTGTTCATGCTTGTTGGTTACCCTTGGAAACCACATTGCTTACGATCATTGAGTTAATAAAGGTCTTTTACGTCGTTATAAGTTCCCATTTGGATTAAAATGTTATATTGGCAGATTCATACATGATTACTCACCAATGACTTATGTATGATATAATTTCACACCTTTAATAAATCACCTCTCGTGTACCCGCTGGGGCATTGCCACGTACCCCCGGTTGAAGAACCACTGCCCTATCTCGAGCTGGTTGTTGACCTTGCAGAAATCTGATGCCGAGGAAGCTGAGCTACTCGAATCAAAGCGACAGCGGGAAGGACAGCAGAAGCCATCACCTCTTCAAGAGCCACAGCAAGCTTTTGTGATTGTGACCTAGCTGGCGCCTCGCTGCCAACAAGCCGGCGGCGTACTTGCATCAAACTAAAACGAGTCGCACGAAGACGGTGCGATCTTTTGGCAAACAAATATTGGCCATTTTTATTAATGATAAGTTAGTAATTTGGTACCTATTTTAATTACCCAAATCCCATTTTTTTAAGTCTATTTTTTAATGAAAAATGTAATAAACTGGTCCTAAATAGACTTCTGCCAAGGTCTCTTGTACAAAAATAAGTTAATGTTGACTGTGGAATAAAGAATTTTGAAATTATTAACGGTATTACAACGTGACTTGTGTGTAAATGTGCTCGCTGGTGTTGCGTCAATGTGTTTTAGACGGCGGTTGCCTGTGGTGGTCAAATGGCTCTTCGTCGCAGTTCGAAGCTGGCACTGCCGCTACACTGGGTTCAATACCGGGTCGTCGCCTGTGGTTAAACTGCGTTCTCAAGTGTAGCAAGTAGATCGTCTTGTCCCATTCATACACGACTGCATAAAATACATAATGACATTTTAATGACAATGGGCTGAATTTCAACTCAATTAAAAAAACATACATAATCTAGCAGTCTCGGCAGAGTGTGGGAGGGACAGTGTTACCCCTGCCATGTGGAGTATAAAAAGGGTACTGACAGGTTTGTTTCGTCCTATGAAAGATATTTTCACTAGCGGTGTGCCGACAAGGATTGCACTCATTTGTACGATTAATGAATAGTCTCATGACATGCATATGGATTTTTTTTTAATGTGGACAAATCTATAAATATCAATGATTTTTTTCTTTATATTGGAAATATCCCTTCCCTTCATGCAAGCCTCAGCAACGGTGTTAATCATTGGTGACCCAAAATCATCGGAATGTGAAATTTCACATTCCTATGGTACGAATTAGATGAAAATACATCTGACATTGGTGGTACTCAACCCCCCCATGATGGACTGCGTCGACTATCCATTCTACCATACTGACGCAGGCTGTTTTGTGCTACATCTGTACTGGGGTATTCTAAATAAATTATTGTATTTCGAAATGGCTTTGTAATACACCTGTACTGGCTTTGTCCGTTACATGTAACACATTCCTGCGGAGGGAGCTGTTAGGAGCGTTGGGTTGCTCGGTCAATGGCCAGGGTCAACGGCGGCGTGGTGTATTCCGCAAATATGCCCGACTGAGGGCAGGCACAAGCCGGCGTGAGTAGGTTAAACGTTGAGTTTTATAAGGGCACCACGGGGTGACCAGCCCCACCCCTCCCACCCTCCCCTTCCCCACCCAAGCCCCTCCCTCCCCACCCAGCCCCTCCCTGCACGACGGACACAATAATCCCCTGTGGGCTGGTGTAACCAGGAGGTTCCTACCAGTAAAACTAAGTTGTCCCCAAGACCCCAGGGCTTGCCCAGGACACGCTGGCGGGACTTGCTCGGCTGGCCTGGGAACGGCCTGGGACTACCCCAGGAAGATCTCGAGTCTGTCGCTAGGGAACGGGAGGTCTGGACCGCCACGACTCTCACCAGGACAAGCGGATTGAGAAGCCATTATATTATTCATGCGTGTGTGTATATTCGTTTGAATTAAATGTTCAAAACATGCTCATCGCACTACTACACAATTTACTGAAATGTCTTGCGTGTTTCCCATCGTGTGTGTTGTGATATACAAGTTGGTGTGTCATCTTCTTGGTTCTTTCGGTAAAGTCACGTAGCAATATGCTAAATTCCTCTTGATATTGAAATTATTTTGTCAAGGCGCTCTTCCCCCTCTAACCCAGCTTAAATATACGCTCCAGGCCTGGTGGTGTTTCATTCAGACGCTGTCTTCCCGACAGACCTGTTCTTCACCTGAAGACGGCTGCTTGCGTTGTGGCCGAAACGTCGTGAGAATTATTTTATTATTTCCCTTCTACGTGACTTTACCGAAAGAACCAAGATGATGAATCCCTGCAGTCTCGAAAGCTTTAAATCGAAATTTAAGTTAGTGTGTGTTTTTGCTCTCAAGCTATATTGTTTTGTTATGGTTATATTCATGAGTCATCCTTCTCGGTTTCGACCTGACTCAAATCTGCTCTCTTTTCTACGTATTGTGATTTGGGATTGAGATAACGTCACAGGCCACCTGTCCAACTGGCCCAACCAGGTTTTTGCAGAATTCTTAAACCGAGCGTGGCACATTTAGCCAATGCACGATAATGCATGTTTCGAGTAAAAGTCTTCCCTTACAAACACTTAATTGAGCCCTATGTTGACTTGCACGTGGAGTTGGTGAGCGTGTGACTTATTATAACCGCTGCTTGTGGTAATAATCCATATAAACAGACAATATACAACATGTCACGTTTGCAATGACCCATCCGCAAATGTGAAGGAGACGTGGCAGAGATTACACTCCGCTGAATGTGAAATTGTAGCTTGTTTCTCTGCATCTACATCAGCAGCCGTACGACAAGAAGAAGAAGAAGATCGCTGCTTGTGAGTACACCGATGGAAGAGAGTAATACAAACAAACAGAAATTTTCACGGATGCTTTCTTTAAAAAAATATGACCCAGGTGACCGAGTGGCGTTGGGGAGGGCGCTGAAAGCGCATCACGTGGAATGCCTGGCTTGGGTCTGGGCAGCCACGGATGATTCAGCTGATTCTCAATCATTTAACTTTTAATATGAATGAGTTTATTTATGATAACTTCAAGGACAGTGCATACATTATCAGAGTTATGTTTTTGTTTGCATTACGACTGCTAGTATTGTGGTCTATGCAAACATGACTCCTTGTAAAAAAAGGTGTCAGTTTTGTTGCCAGATAAAAGAGTAAAAAAACAATTATCATATTTTTTCTTCTGGCAAATGAGGTTCCAATGGTGAGTTTATTTTGTCGAAACGTTTTCATTATAATTGAAGGGTTTTCTTGGTACTCAATAGCTACTATTGTGTATGCATGGTCGTCTTTCTCTCCAGACTCTCTTTATGTGCTCGGAAGAAGGGCTATGGCCCGAAATGTCGTCGACGATTTATATAGTTTATCTTAAGGCCATGGTGTTATTGACGAATGTTGTATTTTTGTAAGTTTTTAACGATCTGTTTCGTCGGAGGAAATGTCTCGTGCTCGACAATTAAAATCACAACCAGGTGCTATTAATGATGCATTGTCCCCTTATTTAATCTAAGGTGAGCAATCACTCGTGTTGGAGAAGTCCCTTCTCAACCCACTCGTGTTGAATTGGACAGGACTGCAGGTTTATCAGTAGGGGGTGCTATCTTAAAAGGTTTACAGTTTAAAACACATTCCACTTCACGGAATACCTTTCGCAAAGGCTGAATCAACAACGAGGTGGTTCAGTCGCCCCTTTTAGTCACCGTGCGTGTTTATTGTACGCATTCAATTCTAGATTTGCGGTCTCAATGTTGTTAAAATGCTGCATAGTGTATTCATCTTGTGGCTAAACTTGATTTGACCAGTGGCACACGACTAAACATGGACATAATCTTTAATCACAGCTTAGAAGCATACGTTGCATAGCATGTACGCCTCCCGAGCTAACTATCTTCACAGTTTAATAGTTTGTCGCTTAGTTATACGTTCGCTATCATCAACCATGATCGATCCCCTGCTGGAGGAAGTCCTGAAGCTGCCTGAAATTTGTGAGGATATTGCAAAGCAGTGCTTATCGAACTATTGTTGTTTAATTGTGTTTCCTATGTCTTAAATTATTTCCATGAAACTCAAATGGAATGACTGCTAGATTTTACACAGTTTCGCCACTGTGTCCAGTTTTAACGTAATTGCCTAGTTTTGGGTAAGTCACTCCCAGTTGTTTTAAACGATGCATTTGTAAAACTCAAAACTTATTTTGCTTGCAAAGTATTATGAATATTGCACGTTAATGGCAGTGATATAGCGTGTGTATTGTACAGATAACGCAATAAATCCAGCTGATTTGTGCGACACTTCATATGTTTTCGTAAGACCCAATGTACATTCTGATCATATAAAATTACATAAAAAGGAAAAAAAAACAAGCGGTATTGTTTCATCATATTTTTCCTCCTGTAAATAGATGGGAAGCGTCTCTTCGTAGGAAGCTTGCATCACACGAACATGTCCTCTATCTGCAAAAAGATGCAAACGCACGTGCAGATGTGGTTTCTTTTTGGTACACGTGCGAACCGCGGCTGGCGAACAAGCGAGCCGGCCACTTTGAGAAACGGGGTGGCGGCACTGGGAAAAAAAAAGCCTCGCGAACACCCCTTTGGAGTTTCAAAAATGATAATAAAAGAGTCAAAGCAGCTGCATCGAGGCCGTTGTTTTTGAAAACAAGCACTTGTGTCTGAAATATGGGGGGGTCACATTCCAGTAGGAATCAAGCACGGCTTTTTGGGGCACCATTACCATGTACTCTGCACCCATCATCGTCAACATATATCCATATCCCCCCCCCCCCCCCACATTCATCGCTGGCTTTTTCGTCAACAATGTTTGTCCTACGAAGAGACTGGCCCCTTTCTGGCCGTTGGGACATGTCCGTTTCCTTCAGCGATCTTGCCGCATCTCTCCACATATTGCGTCTCTTGCTTATCACTGTGTCTGCCAGCTGAGAAAGTTTCCATCCACGTTCAATGTTTTGCTATTGATGCCCCGTCTGATTTTGACCCTCCATTTCCCCCAAGCACAACCCAGTTATCCCTCCATCACCAAATGCTTTGCAGCCAGTCACCATTCATCCTGGCCACATGTCCAAAATATTGCAGTTTTCTGTATTTTACCTGACCCGTAACCCTTGATTGTTCATCTATGTTTGTTCTTTCCAGAGTTTCCGTGTTCAATGCATGCTCTTTCTGAGAGGTTTTACGAATTGTTCGGAATGCATTTATTGTGAAGGCGGCGTTCATCCTCCCTCGCCATAGGAGTGTGCTATTTCGACCGCTACATCAGGGATGCCAAAATAGACGAGCAATAAGCTACATTTGTTTGACAAGGGATACGCTGAAGTGATGTCAGTCTTCTATGTCTCTATTCCGAATATGAACGGAGTGGATGATGACAGCCTTCATGTGGTCCACTCATCGTGAGAAATCACGAATAATGTCAGCGTCGACCCGTCGACTGAACACCGGTCGACGTTCCCCCGGCCTCCAGAGCAACATCTCAAGTCATGAGCCATGCGTGGCTTTGCTGCTGCTGTGTGGAAAGTTGGTTTGCTCCACAAGAATCTGGGTTCACGTAAATGACGATCAAACAAAATCAAATGACATTATTGCTCTTCATCAATAGTACCTTGGGGTT